TTATTAATTTGTTTTTATACATTGATTTATTTTATTTTTTTAAACTGTTCGTTAGTTTTTTGTTTTTTTAATTATTTATTTATTTTTATTTATTTATTGTGTGTGTGTGGCCAGCTCAGCCCACCAGGGGGCGGGGCTGGCTGGCATGTGGTGCTGGGGGATCGAACCGCGGTCCCTGTGCTTTCCCAAGTAGGTGCTTGTTCCAAGTAGGTGCTTTAGACAACTGAGCCATCTCGCCAGCCCCTACTTGGGTCTTTTTAATAGCACTAATCTCTTTAGCAATCATAGCTCCTTGGCCTCAAGCTTACAACTGGATTTTTTCTGAGCCAAAATACAAGTCTTTCAAATTTTTTGGCTTTGGCTTTTTGTCCAGTTCCCACTATAAATCTGGCTAAATGTAGCAGTACCTATTGCCATCACCTAAATGTTGGACTGCCTTGAAATTCCTTCTCCCAGATTAGTGTTTAATTGAGCTCCCAGTGTGAGGAGAGTCAGTACCTGTCCACCTGGGTCCAAGGCAGAAACCCCATGGCAGACGGCTGTGGCAGAGTGGCTGGAGCAGGAGAAGCAGGAGAGCGAATGGTATTACCCAGAACTGTGAGGGGCCATGTAAGGAGTACCCAGGCATGTGCTTGTGTAACCTGCTAGGTTTCCCAGAGTGTGCTTTACAAATCTGCTAGGTGTTTCCTAATTCCTTAGTTGGCATCAGATTAACAGTCATATGCCCTCTCTCATCCCAGAGCCATGGCCTGACTTGGGAATGCAGGCTGCCTGTAGCCTACTTTCTTCTGAATGTGGGAGAATGTTTTATAATAGGACATATTTAAATTTGAATGTTTGAATGTTAACTCTGCCTCTTACTGTCTTTTGAATCTTAAGTCAGTCTTTCTGAAGTAGCTGATTTACTTTTTAGAAAAGGAAATAACATAATTGTTGCAATTTAATGAGGCAATATGTTTCAAATATTGCAATAAATACTTGGCTTCTAATAAGTTCTAAATCAGTGATAGATATTACTGGAGGTTTTTTCTTTTCTTTTTCTTTCTTTTTTTTTTTTTTTTGTATATTTAGGGAAGGGTCTACAGGGTGTTCAGGGTCTCACTACTAGATCGGACTCCTAGTGATCTGCCTGTTTACAGCCTCCCAAGAGCTGGGATTACAGGTGCGCGCCACCACACCCAGTCTCGATTGCCGGCTCAGTGCACCTGGGGGTGGAGCTGGCACAGCAGGCCCCATGATCGAACCCCTGGCACCTGCACCTGCTTGCAGGTGCTTTAATCCGCTGAGCTATTTGGCCAGCCCTGGTTTTCTTGTCTTTAAGGATTTTGAGGTCAGCTTTCTTAAACAGAAGGGCACTTTACTGTTGATCATTTTCTGCACTGAATGATACAACTCCAAGGTAATGTGCCTTACTACTTGTGTACTCTATTCCTTACTGTCCTGATTTCTGTGTACTTTTAAACAAACAGCTTCATTGCGATGTTATTCACATGTTCTCACTTAAAAGTGTGTACAGTTTAGTGGCTTTTGTTTTACAGTCCAGAGTTGTTGATCTGTCACCACAATCTAGTGCTAGTTGGAACCCACATGCCATTTCACAGAAAGTCTTCATTTCTCCCTCTTCTGGACTCTGTAAACCACTAATTGATACTCTTATCACTAGGCTTCCTTTTCTGGACATTTCATATAAATGGAATCATAAAATACGCATGTTGTTTCTGGGTTGGTTTTTTTTTAGTGGAACTGAGGATTGAACTCAGGCCCTTGCGCTTGCCAGGGAAGCGCTTATTCCACTGAGCCATCTCCCCGGCCCCCATATCTGGGTTCTTTCACTTCAGATGTTCTAAGTTAGGTTCAGCCAAGTTGTAGCATGTACTTTGCTTCTTTTTGTAGACAAATATTTTATACTGATATGGCATATTTTGTTTACTCACTAATTGGTAGACAAATAGAATGCTAATTCTGTTATGAAAAATACTGTTATAAATATTCTTATATGTTTTTATGTAGATGCCTGTGTTCATTTCTTTGGTTATATATCTAGCAGGATAATAATTATATCACAAGGTAACTGTGTTTAAATTCTTGACAGTCCCTGTTTGCCAAAGTGGCCACACCTTTTTTACAATCCCACTAGTGATTTAAATTTATTTCTCTTCTTCCTTACCAGTACTTGGTACTATCCTTTCAGTTTAGACCATTTTAATGTGTGTGTAGTTATCTGGTGTAGTCTTGAGAATCTTTTGAGTTTGCCATCTCAGTAGAAGCTTGGTGAAATGTCTTTTCTAATATTTTAAATGTTTTTATAGGGTTTGTTTTTTATGTTGAGTTTGGAGAGTTCTTTCTGTATTCTGCATATAAGTCCTTTAACATGTAGATGCTTTATAAATATGTCCAGTGACGTGTGTGTCTTATTTTTTGTGTTCTAAGAGTTTAAAAATTTGATGAGGTCCAATTTATCATGTTTTGTGAATTTTATGGATTATGCTTTTAATGTTTAAAGAATTTCTGCCTAATTTAGGGTCACACAGATTGTCTCGTGTCTTCTATAAGTTTTACAATCTTATGTTTTCGGTTCATGATCTGTCTTGGTTTAAGTGACACTATACAGCTTCCTTTTTTCTTTTTTGAGACAGGGTCTCAGGTCAGGCTGACCTTGAACTCACTATGTAGCTCAGGCTGGCCTGACACTCAGTGATCCGCCTACCTCAGCCTCCTAAGTACTAGAATTATAGGCATGCACCACAATGCCTGGCTGATTACCTCTTATTAAACTCAGCTTTCATCCCTGAAGTTCATGAAGTTAGAGAAATGAACAGATGTGATTTAGTTGGAAAGGAAAACTGGCATAATTTTAAATTATGAGTTTTTGCAAAAGATGTGTTCCTAGTTTTTCATATTTAATGCTGTAAAATTACATTTGTTTTATGTGTAGTTTCACACATTGTTCAGTAGTTTTGCTAATTTTTGAAATTAAAAAAATAGCATTCAATTTAAAATTGGGATAAGATATAAAAATTGCTCCTTTGTTTAAAAAATAAAACACAAGGCTGGCTTACTGTTTTACAAACTACACTATTAGCAGTACAAGCATTGTTTCCTTCAGGATCTTTGCACTTTTTCCCTTCTGTTTGGAAAACTTTATCACGGTCTCCTGTTACTCTGCCTGTATGCTTCACTCCTTCAGGTCTTAGTGCAAATACCACTCATTGAGACCTTCCTCCATCATGCTGTTTAAACTTATCTTTCCTCTTAAGCTAGGTGTGGTGGCACTCGCCTGTAATCCCAGCACTGGGGAGGTTGAGGCAGGAAAAGTGCCACAAGTTTAAGGCAAGTCTGAGCTATGTAGTAAGTTTAGGGCCTGAACTACAGTGAAATCCTGTGTCAAAAAAGAAAAACAGGCCGGGGAGATGGCTCAGTAGAGTAAGCGCTTCCCTGGCAAGTGCAAGGGTCTGAGTTCAATCCCCAGTTCCACAAAAAATAAGAGAAAAACAACCTTAATCTCTCTCTCTCTCTTTGTCTCTGTCTCTGTCTCTCTCTTTCCCCATATTAAAAAAACGTGTGTGTGTGTGTGTGTGTGTGTGTGTGTGTGTATGTTTCATATGTCATGTATTTCATGTATATTTCATATATATATATGAAGTTATACTTATTCCAAGTTAACTTTAAGCCACACAACTTCTGATAAAAGCATTAGAAAATGAAAATACCTTGCAATAAGTTATTTTAGGTGATTTAATTAACACATGATATGGGAACCAATTTTTATGATCATTGGTTTTAAATCATTTGCAGGGTTCTGTCTGGCAAAGACTTGGTGCAGATGTGACAGCAGTTGAATTTTTGGGTCACGTAGGTGGAGTTGGAATTGACATGGAGATATCGAAGAACTTTCAGCGGATCCTTCAAAAACAAGGGTTTAAGTTTAAATTGAACACAAAGGTTACTGGAGCCACCAAGAAGTCAGATGGAAAAATTGATGTTTCGTAAGTTTGCTGTGGTTTATCGTTGATGTGTTATCTTTGTTTCTTTTAGAAAAATGCTCTAAAACTGAATTAACACATATTACGAAGTTTTTATAACTTGCAGAGTGTTGTTGCTTAATATTGCTCAATATTGATTCTCAAATAGTGCATTGAAATTCATGGATTAAGTTGTAATTGGACGAATGAGTCTGGTGTTCTCATTGTAATGTGTTTTTATAGTCTACATTTGGAAAAGCTGAAATGACCAGCATTTAGTAAAGTTATTTTCAAACAGTTTCTTGGGGAAATTATTAATAATATTAATTAGATTGCTTATTGTATGTCTGGCACTCAACAGATACAGTGGAGCCTCAGGTCATAAACTTAATTCTTTGCATAGTTCTAGTTGCAATAGAATTGGCTACTTACTGAGTCGAATTCACTGGGGAAATTTGATTTGGTCCACAACCAATTCGGTTTGCAAACAGAATCATGGAAAGAAGTAATTTTCTAAAGTGCGGTACCACCGTACTTACACAGTGCGGTGAACTAACCCCAAAGTCAGTTATGCGGAGGGTGCGGAGCCAGTGCTTGCACTTGGATCTTGTGGATTCTTGGTCCCTATGTTGAGTCTTTTTGTTTGGCTTTTTTTAGTAACAAGGATGAACTGAAGGTGTCATATATGCTAGGCAAGCAGAGTCACATCCCTGATGTGAGGCCTGTGTTCTTAATTACTGTGCTACATCACCTTTTAACACTTTAGATATCTCTGATCCTAAATTTCTGTTATTTCTATAGCTGTGCATGTAATAGTTTTGCACTCTTCTGTGTCTAGTGTTGAAGCTGCTTCTGGTGGGAAAGCTGAAGTTATCACTTGTGATGTACTCTTGGTTTGTATTGGTCGACGACCTTTTACTAAGAATTTGGGACTAGAAGAACTTGGAATCGAACTGGATCCCAGAGGTAGAATTCCAGTCAATAGCAGATTCCAAACTAAAGTTCCGAAGTAAGTTGGATAATTTATATCCACTTATCTTTCTCCCTCTCTCCCCTTGCCCTCCCTTCTGTCTCCATCTCTCCCCCTCCCCTTAAAAAAATATTGACTTTAGGAAAGAATAGCATAATTACAAGAATTTTTTTATTGCTCAAAAGTTAGCACCTAAATGCATGAATTTTTGAAGTTGTACATATATATTTATTTATAGTATGTGTGACTAAGTGTCAGGGTATCTTTGTTGTAAATAAATACACCTTGGCCCTCTGAAGCTCACTGCTTTTCTGCTTCTGGCAGCATCTATGCTATTGGTGACGTGGTAGCTGGCCCGATGCTGGCTCACAAAGCAGAGGACGAAGGCATTATCTGTGTGGAAGGCATGGCTGGCGGTGCGGTGCACATTGACTACAACTGTGTGCCATCGGTGATTTACACACACCCTGAGGTTGCTTGGGTTGGCAAGTCAGAAGAGCAACTGAAGGAAGAGGTAACAGCTCTGTAGAACGGTGGTGATACGTATATACATTTTTTTTTCCTTAGGCTCTTGAAGAGATCATTCACTCTAGCTTTACTGGCAGGAAAGGAGGGGGAGGATAAGCTGTCTGCGTTGAAAGTTGCTAACTGCGGACCTTTTATATTTGGCTTTCTATATAACCAGATAGACAAACATTATGTTTGTATTTGTACCAAAATACATTTCTTCAACCTGCCTTTTGATTTGTCTTTATGTTCTCAACAATTGATTGAGATTTTCCCTACTAGAAATGAATCTTTTTAGAGCTTATGTAGCTTCTCATTTTTTCCCTTGCAGGGTATTGAGTACAAAGTTGGGAAGTTCCCATTTGCTGCCAACAGCAGAGCTAAGACAAATGCTGACACGGATGGCATGGTGAAAATTATTGGGCAGAAGGCAACAGACAGAGTGCTGGGAGCACATATTCTGGGACCAGTGAGTATTGTGAAGTCCGAGAAATCCTTTTAAGATTTATGCAAAGCATTGCTTTAAAAAAATATATATAAATAAATAGATAGTTCTGAGACAGGGTCTCACTATGCAGGGTGGGCTGATCTTGGTCTGTGTAGCCCAAGAAGCCTCACCTGCCTCAGCCTCCCAAGTGCAGGATTATAACACACCCAGGCTTGGAGATCTTTGCTATTCATAGGTTAATTTTAAGCCACCTGATGTTTATATTCTGATCTAGTTACTCTGCCCTCCTCCTCCCCTTCTCTCTTCCTGTTCTTTGATTCGTAAATTCTTATTGCATTGGCCTTCTTTCATTTTCACAACAGGGCATGTTTGCTGACATTCTAGAGCCTTTGTGCTTATAAATGCTCTGCATCAAGATTGGTGGGTGTCTGGTTCTTACTCAGATCTCAGCTCAGATATTAACTGTTAAGGGGAGCCATAGCCTCTTCTGAGTCTGAAGTGTATTCCTCCCTAGGAATGTGATTAACAATAAAGTAATAATACTTGAGGGGCTTTCAGTGTCACTTTTTCCTGGAAACGTACACTACCCTTATTTCATTTTTTTACAGTAACTTTGTGAGGTAGGTGCTATTGCTTTCAAAGTGGAGGAAATGAGTGAAGCGCATACTGTCAGTGAGTGGTGGAGGTCACAGAGTTACGGGATTTGAATCCAGGTCATCTGGCTTCAGAGCCAAAGCTTTTTTTTTCTGTTAAGGTTTTTTTTTTTTTTTTTCCTTTGTTTTCTGAGTTTTACTTCACTGCCACAACAAAGATTTAAGACAACTGTAGGGTCTAAAGATGTGGTCTCTTAATTGTTGCTATCTTCTTAGTACAGAATTGTTTTGGCCTAGAAACAAAGTTACTTCTTGGCTTATTTTAAAGGGTGCTGGAGAAATGGTCAATGAAGCGGCTCTGGCTTTGGAGTACGGAGCATCCTGTGAAGATATAGCTAGAGTCTGCCATGCACATCCGGTAAGTAACAGCATGTAGGATGAAGGCCATCTTAATTTTTCCTCTGGTACACAAATAATTTGGTTTTAAACTTTACATGTCTTCTCTTGCAGACCTTATCTGAAGCTTTTAGAGAAGCAAACCTGGCTGCATCATTTGGCAAAGCAATCAACTTTTAAATTAGATCTATTTTTTTCTGAAATCTCTAGGACTGAATTATGAAACTTTTGGAAGGATTTAATAGGTTTGGACAGAATGCAATAATCTTGTATCTATATTTTAAATATTTTGTTTCAGTACATTAACATGCAGGATGAAAGTTACTTATAGTAGCATCCTGATTCGTTTTCGTCAGTTCATATTTTTATGCTATTTATGAAAGGTTCAACTTCACTGAATTCAAGTTAAGTGGCCTCTGATTCTGTGAAGTTGGTGGAGTTGGAGTATGGTATGTGAAGAAAGTGATCAAGTCATTTTAAATTTGGTTTTCATATTGGAAACAAGTCTGTTACTAGAACAAGATTTGAATACGTATGTATAAATTGAACTTGTGTAAATAAAAACTGACCATTTCTCCCTTGTTTTATTTAGCTCCTAAGTTCTTGCAGTTTAGAGGTAACATTTATAGGCTTAAGGAGTTTTTAAGGCTTCATAGAGGTCTACAAGTTGAAGGAGAATTATATAGCAATGGAAATTAAACCTATCTACAAAACTCAGATATTAAATACTCTAATGTGTAATAGTGAGAAATGCAAATATTAAAATAAATGTTTTATTTACTGGTTATTGTGAGTGCATGTTTAGAAATCTTTTTTTTCTTTTTTTTTTTTTTTTGTATTTGGTTGTTGCAGGGTCTCACTATGCAGCTTGGACTCGTGGTGATCCTCCTGCTTTCAGCCTCTCCAGCACTGGGATTACAGGCATGCGCCACTACCCCCGGACTCTGGTCAGCTCAGCCTGCCTTGGGGGCAGGGCCGGCGAGGCACGCGGTGCTAGGGATCAAACAGCAGTCCCCATGCTTGCCTAAACAGGCACTTTAGTATGCTAAGCTAACTTGCTGGCCCCACCTAATTATTTTATAACTACTAGTATGTATTTTATTATTTTTAAAAAATTTTTTGGAAGGGGTGGTTTGAGACAGAGTCTTGCTATATATATTTCAGGCTGGCCTTGAACTCACTGTAGCCCAGACTGGCCTCAAATTTGCAGCAGTGCTCTGGTCTTTGCATTCTGAGTGCTAGAATTATAAGCATGTGCCACCATGCCCAGCTATTCTTTCTTTTATAGGCCAAAATGTATCTTTCTCACATTGTATAACAGGGTCATTACTCTTTTCATCTGCCTTACTAGATACCTGCTGTTTAGCATATACTTTTGCATAGACACAACATAAGGGAGTCTTATTTTTCTTTTTTTTTTTTTTTTTTTTTTTTTTTTTTTTTCATTTTATGTATTTTTTTTCATTGTACTTACCACTACAGCTTGGACTTGTAGTGATCCTGTTTTCAGCCTCCCCAGTGCTGAGATTACGGGTATGCACCACCACACCTGGATTTCAGTCCCTGCTCAGTGCACCCAGGGGCTGGGCCGGCATGGCATGTGGGACCTGGGACTGAAACCTGGTCCGTGGGCTTGCCAAAGCAGGCATTTAGTCTGCTGAGCTATCTCGCCAGCCCAGGAGTCTTTCTTTAATATGTCTTTGCCTATGTGGATTTCATTGGCTGGGTAAATAGTCATTTCTTAAGAGTTACAAAATTGCGTTTATTGATAAATACTTATAATGGTTATGTAAATATCTCAAGGACTCAGGAATCATTTCAGATTAAGTACTTTCCAAATTTAGTACGTAGCATAGACTTTTTAAAAGGAAGGTATTTTTTAAAAAAAAGAAAAGGGAAGGTATTAAAGACCCAGAAATGTGAAGTAGATACTTACTTGACTGCAATTGAAGTGATTTTTAGTCTTAAATTTGGTGAATGTAATCTGCATGGAATAAGATACTATCAGTTGATCAGAGCTGAAAGGAAAAAGTTTTCATCTCCAGATTTTAATTGCATTATATATGAGTCAGTCACATTTTCCTTTGTCCAGTGGTCTTGGGGACCATGTCATCATCATGAATGGTACATTGTAAAGATTCTTTTAGTCAGATAAATTGGATGAGCTACAAATTGTGTGTTGTTGGGTGAGGTATAGTGGCTGGAATTCCTGTCCATTTTTATTTAGCTTTACTTGTGCTGTTGAAAGTCTTTCCCAAGATTGGGTAGAGTATTTGCACAAAAGGAGGGGGCTCTCTCTTGTGCCTCCACCCTTGGATTTTCTCCTTCATAGTGCAGCTGTTTGTGCTTGCTGCAAAGTCTGTCCTTGGACTCCTTAACCAGTGAAATTTGGCTTTTTGTCTTCTCAAGTGAAAACTTATAAAAAATGAGACATTGGCCTGAGTGCTATTTCCCAAAGTGTCACTTTCCATCTGCCTCTGCCTGTTACTTTCCAATACCTTTACTTTTTTAAAATTTTCTTCCACAAAATGTATTTTGTTCAGAGTGACTCATGACCTGGTGGTGGTTGAGCAGCAGAGTACAGAGGAAGTAGAGCCAGGAAGGGAGATACATCCTTCAGGTCACAGCCCTAGTGACCCGGCTCTTCTTCTAACCACCCACCTCCTACCCAGCCTGTCACTTCTGAAAGCCCTCCCCATGACTGGAGGCCTGGGGGACACCTAGATATAAACCCTAGCAGGGTGGTATGTGCTACTTGGGGCGGGGAGGTGGTGGAAGTGACTTCTGTATCTTTTTAAAATCTTAGAATCTCAATTTGATGTTGTGTTCAGATCTCAAAACATGGTCCTTACATTTCTAATTAGAAAATAGTCTAATATGAAATCCTAGGCAGACACAGTAATAGTTAAGAGTTCTCACTTAATAAAATACATCTGGGTGTAGAGAATAAAAGTCCTGGAAATAAGTTTTAGATGTCTGCCTCCTGCTAAACCCAGTATTTTCTTGGGTTATGAAGGGTAAGTAGAAGTCCAGTTCATTAGGGTTGATTAGAATTAGTAATTACAATATGATATATTTTAGCTGTAGACTTGGAAACTAGAGATAGATGACTTTTTTAGAAAAATAATCCATGATATAACCATTTTGCTTGTTACCTTCTCAAATGACATTGCCAGGGGTAAGTTGCCTTGTCTAAATTCCAGCTGATCAAAAGAGGAAGAATGTGTGAAAAGCACGCAGGTGCTGGGCTGGGCTGTCAGCCCGAGTTCAGCAGGTGGTTGACACAGGCTTGGCAGTTGGATGCTAGCAGTGTTCACTGAGCCTTGGACTAAGCGACGTGATTATTTGGGGCTCACCTACAGATGGTGGTGGAGAATCTTTAGTTGTGAAGTTGTGTAAAATATAGTATGAATGCTGAGGAATTCTGTTCATTTGGTGCGCAGTTTGCAAAAGCAATGGCCGTAAACTGGCCTGATAGAATCTTATCTTTGCTATCAGCAACCCTTGCCCTAATTCTAGGTGGCACAATTTAAAAGCCACAATTCACTCTTGATTTTCTAGGAATTAATGCTTTGTTCACATTCCTGGAGCAACTCAGGGACCATGTTGAACCACTGGCACATGTGCTGCAGCTGGCTGGCTCTTGATCACTGGGGAGCAGTAGCTTTTCTTCACTTTGATCTGGAACTGGAGACAACTAGATTATTATAATTATAGTTATTTATTTTTGCGGAACCGGGGATTGAACTCAGGCCCTTGTGCTTGCCAGGGAAGCACTTATTCTACTGAGCCATCTCCGTGGCCCCTAGATTTTTGGAAGATACCCATCAGATAATAGTTTACAGATGTAATTAGACACCAGGGTCTTTATGGAGACTATAAATCTATGGTGAGAATATTTAGATATGAATACTAAATCAGTAAATGAATTTAATAATTATGCTAAATTAGGGGCCAGCCAGATAGCTTAGTGGATTAATGTGCCGGCTCAGGCAGGGACTGGGGTTTGATCCCTGTGTGCCAGCCCCACCCCCAGGGCATGCTGAGGTGGCAACTGAGGCTGGGCGTGGTGGTGCGTGCCTGTAATCCCAGCACTGGGAGGCTGAAAACAGAATCACTGAGTCTGATCTGTGTAGTGAGACCCTGTAGTAAATACCAAAAAATTATGCTAAATGTATTTATACAAAAGCATTATACTTTATTTAACTTGATACAAAATTTGGTGATTAAAACATTAAATAGGTACTGAGTTTTATTTTGAACATCATAGTCAGTTTGTAAAATGCAGGTATTTTACTTTGGTCACGTCTGCCATCCATCTTCCTTTTGTTACAAACAGGTGCTATAAATGGAGACTTGCTGGCTTATATCATGGAGGAGTGAACGGACCTCTCCTTCCAGTCTCATTAATTCTTGCGCTTTATCTTCTAAATATTTTTGATTGTCCTCATATTTCCTTTCCAGATCTGTGGAAGGTCAAAATAAATAAATAAATAAAAGTTGGAGTGATTTGTACTCTGACCTGAAAACTTAATCATCGCCTCTAAGGCTGTAAATACCTAAAACATAGTGAAGATTGAGAAAAAAGAAACTGAATACCTTGCTTTGAAATTAGAAGACCTACCTTTTAGCATTTGCAGCTTGCTGTTGGCTTGAGCCAAAAGCGTCTTCGCTTCATTTTGCAGCATTTCAGCCTTCCTTCTGGCATCAGCCGACTCCTCAGTTTTTTTGGCAATTAAATTTTCTACTTTCTTATACTTCTCATCAAGTTCGCCATCCAGAGCCTACAGTTCCACATTTAGACACAAAGAGGTAATGGTGTTAAAGCCAGCAGGCTCTGAGGGTGGGTAAGCGCAGCCAGCTTGGCCTCAGAGATGTGGACTTGGAGGGTCTAGGCTTGGTGCCTGAACTTCATTTAAACTCTCGCTGCAGTAAGTCATAAGGATTAAGCCTTTAACTCTTTTGAAGTAGTGTAACTATGGAGGACTGTGCAACAGAGAGTGGACGTCGGAATGGGCTCTGCTCTGAAGAAATAGAGGACCTCATGGGTCTTGACTATTCTGGATTTCTCACGACTTGATAAAGTTAAGGGGAAAAGCAGATCACTACAAACGATTGTTTTTAGAAGCATTGTTCAAATAATGGTCACTATGGCAGTCTTCAAGGGATTTTACTCCTTTATTTTTGTACATGTCATTTTCTTTAAAATGCTACTTGGAAAACTTTTGCTCTCAGAATTGCAGGGAAAAAGTACAATAGAACATTTTGCTGCCCCACACTGGCAGTGAACCTTCCTCATTCTGTTCTTTTCCCAACCCAGAGGTCTGTACAGATTACTTTTATGTAAGCCTAAAAGCTAAAGTAACTGGGAAAATTTTTGAATAGGAGTGAGCCATTACATCATTTAACGCCTACCCCCAAGTGGCTTTGGTAAATGCATATTGCCCACACAGATTTAAAAACTAAACATGTGTTTCAAATATTACTTGGTTTCTAGGTAAGAATTTAGGTAGTGTGAGATTTCTCTGCAAGACACAATACCTTCTATTGAAAGGCAGGGTGTGCATGTGTGGTTCAAAACAAGTTTACAAAGTGAGATCCGATTTCCTTCCAGATGTCCTCTGTAATGAACTCTAGGCTTTTTCCTTTCTGCTTTTAAAGTACTCTCATATGGCCAGGTAATTACACTATAAAGATATACAAGTTCAATATGCTTGTTTCTAGACTTCCACCCTTGGATTAATTTTACTCTTTTCAACTCTGAATTGGGGTGGGAGGGCCTGTGCTTACGGGCATTCCCATTCTTTTCCAGCTGCATCTTGCTATTTCAGAATAGGTCTTTTGGGGTGTTTCTGTTGAAGAACTACTTATATCTTTGTCCCTTGTGAAAGATTCACTGCATCTTTATAAACTAAGCTGTGAAGCTGCAAAGATTTACTTACCTTCTTAACATCGTCTGCACTTTGTTTCACAGTATGTACTACTTTTTCAATATATTCTGCCTCCTCAGAGTTCTGGGCAGCCTTCCGTTTAAGTTCTTCTACATTCCTCTCGAGCTCATTGATGCGCTGGGAAGCGTTGGACAAGGTTTCCTCAGAAGCTGCTGTTTCAGACTCAATCTAAAAAGATAATGTGCAGCTAGTGAGCCACGAGGTAAAAGAAAAGTGGGAAACACTGAGTGCAAGCTTGATGGAAGATTTAAATGGCTGTGGTTGCCATTTTGCTCTAGCCCACAGAAAAATTAACTTGCGCCGACACTTCCATCATCGCTCTTTCCTGATGATCTAAGCTGAGAATGATAGCTGATTTTTCCCTTTCTTGACATTAAGACCCACCCTCCCCTTAGAGGGCTGGGTGTGAAAAGGCATTTCTGGGACACCTGCAAACTTTGTTTTGTTTTTTGCAGAACCGAGGGTTGAACTCAGACCCTATTGCTTGCCAGGGAAGCACTTATTCCACTGAGCCCTCTCCCCGGCACCTGCAAACTTTGGCTAAAGAATTTTCCAAACTTAATATGGGAAAATTAAAACTCCCAAGTTATTTTTTTTTAGTTTTTCCTGTCAATTCTAAATGTTAAATTCTAAGGGCTGGCAAGATAGCTCAGTGGACTAAGCGCTTGCCTGGGAGACTGGAGTTCAATTCCTAGTATCACATGCGGTGCTGGCCTGCCCCTGGGGCTCACTGAGCTGGTGACTGAGACCGGGCATGGTGGTGCATGCCTAGGAGTCTGAGCTACATAGGGAGACCATGTACCAAATACATGAAAAAATAATACGTTAAACTCTAGTAAGATTTCAGCTAATTACTGAAGACTGAAAGATTGGAAATGTCTTAAGCCCTGAAAAGTTTCTGTAGAATTGTGAGCTGGCATGTGGTCTAGAAAAATTACACTTGGAAACTGTAAACATGTAGTTAAAGGAAAATATCTCAGCAACCCTTTAGGTGTCCATATTTGATCTCTTACAGGAGAATCAAACATTGTTTTTAAAAGCTGGCCAGAGGATAGTAGTCTGGCCCATAAGAGAACTACCAGTTTGACTGATTTTTCTTAAAAATGATCTTTAAGGACAGGTCTGTTCCATTAAAAACAAAAAAATGTAACGGCACTGTCATAGTGAAACTAAGTCAGCGTAGACTTGTAAATAGACATTTGTAAATATTTCAAACTAAACAATTCTCAGCCTTGCAGTTCACCCTGAAGTTCTTAGGAAAGAATGCTTGGAGAGTAATTCCCAGTAATACTGAATAGTTGGATTCTCATAAGCTTTGGCTAATGTGGTTGTCATGTGTAGATGTTCCCCAAAGCCTCATGTGCTCATTCATAGCTGAGAGTTTGGGGGAGTGGCCGTATCTGCGTCGGTGTGTGGGGTGAAGGGTGCACCATTAGTGAATCAGTCCCTGGATTGGTTTAGCATATTTCTGGGTGTGGATGGCACCGCCAAAAGGCGGGCAGCCTGGAAGGGATACAGGAGAGGCGGGCTTCTGCTGCTGCTCTGCTGTTTCCTGCCAACTTGCCATGGACCGTTTCTCCTCTTGTAGTTCGGCTCTGTGCCCTGCTGGGAGCCAGGTGACTGGACTGAGACCTACAAACTGAGCTGAAATGGTACCTGCTTTAACTTCGAGTGCTGGTGCTTTGTCTCAGCAATGATAAAAATAAGATAGTGGTTTAGTTAGAAGTTCTATTTTCTTTTTATTTATTTGATACAGGGTCTTGCTATGCAGTTCAGACTTGTGATCCTCCTCTCTCAACCTTCTCAGCACTGGGATTACAGGTGTGTGCCGCCACACCCGGGTTTCGGGCCAGCATGATGTGCTACCAGGGATACAACTCAGATCCTTGTGCTTGCCAGGCAATCACTTAGACTGCTGAGCTATCTCCCCAGCCCCTGTTTTCTTAAGGTTACTAACTCTGTCCCAGAAAACAGCTACCATGCTAACTTACATCATCAGACCACAAATTTCACTTATAATTTTAGTATTTCCCAATTGTTTTCAAAACAGTAACTTAATATACATTGAACTAGGAAACGTATACCATAATGTTACTGCAGAACCAAAAATTCTGAATAACCTAGAGTTAGAAAATAAAAATAAGGGATTACAACATATCCTGGTGTGAAAATACAATTTTTCTTAGCATTTTTCTGAACAGATAACTTTAAGAAGGGTCTTAAATATTCTCAAAATGTAAGTAAGGAACACTGGAAGGCTTCATTTCTGAGAGCGGGTGAGCAGGAAGATGAGTGTTTTTCAGCTAGTGGGAGGAAAAGCATGCTGAAAACCCGTCTCCCAGTTCAAACAGGACGGGTCTGAGGAGCGTCTCATTTCAGAGTACATGCTGACAGCATGAGCATGAATTGAGTGCTGAGGGTTTTTTTCTACCCATTTTTTTTTTTAAGCCTACTAACATTGGCAGAAAAAAAAATTATAATTGAGAAGATTTTTAGAGTAAAACTAAGTCTGTGCAAAATACTTTTCTTGGTTAATATCTGGTCGTCTCAGTATTTTGCTCATGAGAAAAACATGTAAGCTTTCCATTTCTTCAGAACAGACTGCTCGGCTAGCTGGCTTAACGTCTTGGTTTTCACACGGCAGGGATACTTGGAGCTGCTGTGTAACAGGACAGTTTTCTAAAATGGAATTTTGACATTTAATGCTATATTTCATAGTACTGAACAGTCTGTGCTGCTGCCTGAAAGTACAGTTTCTGTCCTCCTTATCTTCAAGTCCTTTTTTTTCCCTCTTGGAAATATCTCATTTTATTCTGGAAGTTCAGTTTTATTTTTTATTTTTTTTTTTATTTATTTTTGGCAGAACTGGCGATTGAACTCGGGCCCCTGAGCTTGCCAGTCTACTGAGCCATCTCCCTGGCCCTCAGTTTTAAATTAGAGGAATTCTTTTTAACTGTTCAGTTGTACATTCTTGTTCATAGATAACCACTTTGGCAGAAGCGTGTGGCATTCCCCACCACACACAGCCACAGCAGGGCTGTCTTACCGAAGTCAAGAGGTTTTGTGTTCCTTGGATGTCTTCATCTGCTTGTTTGATTGCCTTCTCTGCTGCAACCTGGGCCTTTTCTGCTTCTTCAAGAGCCTCCTTTACCATGTCTGCAGTGACTTTAACGTCTGTTGCACTTTGGCTGAGTAAAAGGATGAGACATACTGTTAGTTAATACAAAATAAGTATTTTCACTGAGAATACTTTTCTTAAAAAGGATAGCCTTCCTAATAAGACTCATACAGACTCTTAGACATTTCACTGGTTAAAAAGAAATCCTTTTGCTGTGCATGGTGGCTGCACACCTATAATTCCAGCATTTTGGAGGAAGATGAGGCAGGAACATTACCCTGAGTTTGAAGCCAAGGCCTGAACTACATAGCAAGGCCTGTCTCAAAAAAGGGAATGTGTCTTCACATACCTGGCTTTTTTAGCTTCCTCCAGCAATAGCTCAGCTCTGGCAATGTCAGCAGCACTCTGCTGTAGAATGACTTCTACTTGAGAAAGGCTTTCAACTTTTTCACGGATGTCTTCTGTCAAGTTCTGTAACTGCTCTGGAGTGCTAGGCATTTCCATTTTTAGTACCTCATTAGCAACTGCTTCAATACTGTCCAAATCGGCGCTGTCCTCTGAAAAATCAGGAGTGATTTATTCATTAAATCATAGTGGTCATCTGCTGCATGGGTGGCATGATGGAGTTACATAACACTAATTATGTACTTTCTGTTAGAGAGTACGTACTTCCTATTGGGAAGTTTATAACCTAACTAGGAGAGGACACGCAGACTGTAAGAACTAGCTTTCTTACGGTTGTGTGGTAGGGTAGTGAGGATGAAGAACTGAGGAGGTTCTGAAGACCTTGCTGGGAGGTGGTAGCCTGTAGGTGGGTAACAGTATGGGCAAGGTGTGTGAAGAAAGTTGGCTGAGTGGGTGGCTAGCTGTGGAGAACCACGGATGCCAGCCAGCATTCTAGCTGGGACTGGCAGGAAGTGTAAACTTTCTCTGCCATGCTTGGGATCCAACCCACAGCCTTGCACATGGCAGGCAAGTGCCCTAACCACTGAACTATCCACCTAGTCCCCACAATGAAAAATCTTACACTTGAAACTGGCAAATGCAAACATAAAGTTGATATTAACAGAACCAGGAATGGGAAATTATCTGGTCAGGAAGGCAGGAGAACCAAGAGTGTGAAATGAAGGAGTTTAAAATATTATAAGGAGGTTATATTTCAAATATGTTTGATCGGGCTGGTGAGATGGCAGTGGTCTAAAGCACCTACTTAGAACAAGTTAAGCAAAGCACAGGGACCGCGGTTCAATCCCCCAGCACCACATGCCAGCCAGTCCTGCCCCCTGGTGGGCTGAGCTGGCCCCACACACACACACACACACACACACACACACACGCACAAAATAAATAAATAAACAAAAAATTAAAAAAAAAATATGTTTGATCTTCAGAAAATATGTGTTGGAATGATAGCGTCCACAGATATTCCTCAAAGATATCCTTAGCAAATACTGTTGTTTCCTTATGTAATAGCCTTTCTTCTTTTTCCTTGCTAACAGAAGGAAAAGTTTTCTCCAAGCACTTAACTCTATGGTCAGATGAAATGACCAACTCAAAATTAAATCTTTATCACTCTTGTAATCACTTTCTACTTTCCAGAGCCATTTACATATGGGCATGATTTCTGGCCTGTAAGATCTATGGGAATGAATGCCTGCTTCTTGGGAAAGGTTCCCTATTCCTAGAAAGATACAACAAGGGAATAAGGAGTCATACTATCTTTATGTGAAGTCTGCAACTTTGGCAACCTTTTTGTAACCATAAGCAAGCTTAAAACAAAGCTAAAATGCTTAAAGTGGCAGAGCAAAAAGAAAAACAGGGCCAGCCAGATAGCTCAACAGACTATCGTGCCTGCTTAGGCAGAGCACAGTTGTCAGGGTTCGATCCCCGGTGTCCTGTGCTGGCCCCGCACAAAGGGCACACTGAGACAGCGATTGAGACTGGGTGTGGTGGCACGTGCCTATACTCCTAGCACTTGGGAGGCTGAAAACAGGAGAATCACTATGAGTCGGATCTACGTAGTGAGACCCTGGACTAAATACAAAAAGAAAAATACGTGGATCTCGAACCCATGAAGCTATCACACACTGGATTTATGTGAGACAATAAACATCTCTTGCTTACTTCTGATTCAGCGTACAGTTTTCTGTAACTTGTCACCTATTACCATTCTCACTGGTAAACTCTGAACTGTGGACCAGCAATGTGTAGGGTCTGGGCCACAAATTCTAGATATTTTCTTTTTCTCCTCATAACACTTAAGCTACAGAATTGTTTTAACGGCAGATAAAACATCCTAATCCTGTCAGTTACAAGATTACAAATTTTGGGGGAATGTCAAAGCCACACACTTCTTTAAGCTTTTGATGCTTAGTATAGCATATTTGCTTATAAAATAAATGTTTTATGTAATCTCTAACATAAATTGCGAGTTCAGGTCTCCAAGTATTTTTTTTTTTTTTTTTTTTTTTTTACTTAATTTGCTACTTAGCTGTCCTGTGAGGGGGGCTTATAGCATTGGCAAAGGTCATTTGTACACATAGGCTTAAGAAATGGGAACATTCTTCACATGGACATTCACTCACAAGGAAACCTTACTTTATGTCCTGCCAGATACTGATTTTATCTGAAATGCAGTTTTGTATTATGGTCTGTCAAACAGAATCTTAAAAGAACAAATGTCTAAAGTGGAAAACTCCTTACGGGTCAGGAAGTTACGGATCTCCTTGATCAGGTTTCTCAGCTCCTCGTTGCTCTTCTCCACTCTGTCTTTGGTAGCGTTTGTTTTCAACAGAACATCCTGAGCATTCTGTTTTGCCTCATCCGCCTTTAGTTTTGCTTCAGAGATCTAAACAGCAACAACAAATTACCCAGGAAAAGTGTCATTAGAGCAGACTAGAATGTTAGAAACGATCTAGAAAATGAACTCCCATTGAATCAAGGACTGTATTCTCTGGTAGACTCCATGTTCAGTATACAAAGTCCTAGAAAGGTTTTTTTTTTTTTTTTTTTTTTTAATTTTTTGTATTTTTTAGTAGGGTCTACAGGGTTGCACTACATAGATTGGACTTGTAGTGATCCACCTGTTTTCAGCCTCCCAAAGAGCTGGGATTACAGGCAAGCACCACTACACCGAGTCTCAACTGCTGTCTCGGAGCGCCCCAGAGGCGGGGCTAAAGTATTCTTATATTGGGTTAGCACTTTGTTTATAACTCCAAGAATGTTACCTAGTCATTTTCCTCAATAACAATATTTCAGTGAACAATGTGTGTGTTTCTTTAGAAGAACAAGTACCTAAATGCTTAGTATAGTATTTTTCTAACACAACTGAGTACCTTCACAGCCTGATAATAGTTTTTGTCAACTCTGATTTAAGCTCTCTATCACATTACTCCTGTAAAAAGAAAGCAAATTCAACTGTCCATGAATAAAATCCTTTTTCGACCACATAAGATGCCTGACTCTGAAACAAATGTTTTTAGTCAGTATTTAGATTTGTTTCTCCCTTTCAGATCCTCTAGTTTACAACTGAAAGCAAATACACGTCCCAAGATTCCGAGTTTGTCCACCGCATTACCATCTTGGAGAGCTGCTCCACATCAGCCAGGGCACCCAGGACATCCCGGTCAAAGTCCATGGCCTTCTGCCAGGCACTGTGGGCGACAGTGACCAGACCTCCACAGCCAGGCCCCCCACACTTTTTCTGGCCATCTTCGGTTCTGCAGTTCGGGCCACCACACTCAGTCTCGGAACAGTCAGCTCCTGGTGGCGTCCCGCACGTCTGCAACCAGAGTTGAGGGTTAGGCACAGTGCGGGAGAACGGCTGTGTGGGCTGAGTGGCCCCAGAGCCACAGATGTCCTCAGCAAGGTGATGAGAAACAAGTAGCCCGGGGGTCGCTCAGCTGCTCGTTTCTGGGGAACCAAAGCTTACATGCCCTTGGCACCTGCACACATGCGCTAGAATACCGTATGGGCACTGCCCAGCATCTTTAGACATTCATGTGTACATCTTTAGCTAGCAAGGTCAGGCTGCCTATATGAGAGGAGAATGTTTTTCTGTCTTCTTTTTGAAAGCCACTGTGAACCTTCTTTGTGCTCCGTACCACGTTAACTGCCCTGTTGACTGGTGAAAAGGCCCATAGTCTAGCCTCACAGTAACTGACATCTAGTTAGGAAGGCTCTACACATCAGCCAAGAACAGATCAAGAAGACCCTAAGTGTGAAGGAGAATGGGCGACAGGGGCACTGCTGAGGACTGCAGCAGTCGTAGCTGGTCACGGCTTTGCTGGCTGGTGGGGCACAAGCAGGGCAGAGGAGAGTGTCACAGCAACATGCTCAGTGGGCGGGGCTTGTCGAGGCTCCCTGCTCCTGGTATCAGAAATCTCTCAAAGATCCCCACCTAAGTATAGTGTGGTAGTGAAAAGTGAGGAACTGCAAGTGTGCTACATGACTGAAAAGATGAGTGGGAAGAAAACTCAGAGCTGACCTTTTATGGAAATTGTTCACACTGAGAAGCAAACAACATACTGCAGTGAAAAGCAGCCATGGGAATATTCCCAAATGAAGTTTTGGCTTTTTTCAAAGTCAAAGTATTTATTCTTTGTATTTAGTGCCGCGTCTACAGGGTCTCACTACACAGATCGGACTCGTAGTGATCCTCCTGTTTTCAGCCTCCCAAGCGCTGGGGTTACAGACATGCGCCATCACACCCAGTCGCAACTGCTGTTTCAGCGCACCCTGGGGGTGGGGCTGGCACGGCAGGCCAGGGATCAAAGCCCAGCCGCTGCATTGCACTCTGCCTAAGCAGGCACTTTAGTAAACTGAGCTATCTGGCTGGCCCTAAAAAGTATTTTTAGTAGATACTCTTTGGCCTAATAATTTTAATTATAGTCCCTGTAATCCCTAGATTAACTAAATTAAGTCACTTTTCTGGTTTACAGTATGTAAAAGCTTTAGAAAGTTTACTCTGCTATAAAAGAACCTGAGTCCTAATCAAGAAGAGAAACTAAAGGGGCCAGGGAGATGGCTCAGTAGGATAAGCACTTGCCTGGCAAGCACAAGGGCCTGAGTTCAACCCCCGGTGCCACCAAAAAAAAAAAGAAACTGAACTCTCAAGGATGCTTTCTAAAAACAATCTGACTACACACTAGGCCTGTTCTGTTTCGACGGACAGGAACAGCGTGAGAAGAGCAGCGTACTCCAAGATGAAAGACTGGCGCTGACTGGAGACACAGGAGGACAGAAATCTACCTCTTTACTAGAAAATGACAACGTCAAACTCAAAGCCGAGTGCTCCCAGGATAATTAACAGACCTGGCAAAGCTGGCTAGTCCCTGGGTGCTCACCAGGTGGCAAAGCCTGCACAGGATTGCAAGGGCCAGAGGAAGCGCCCGCCTGCCTCCACTCCCAGGGGGACTTTTATTACAAGGCTTAAGTCCTTTTAGCACACTTAGCTGCCTCTCAGATGACTGATTTTTATTAGAACTCGTAAGGGAGCAGTCAGTCCTGAGAGATGAGTGACAAACTTGGTATATCATACCTAACAACTTTTTACTACTGTTAGGTGCAGTTCACACATTGCCCTGGGCCTTCATTGTTGGTTTTTCATTTAATAAGTGGCAACAAGAGCCCTACAAAATCCCTGGTTTCACCAGATGCTGTAAAGCTGCACGGGATAATAAGTATCAGACCTTGCAGCATTAGGAAAACTGGCCACGCTATAGCGCAGACCATTTGGGTTTGTGCGTGGGTGTGTGCGCGCGCATGCGCATGCTCAGTGCTGGATCTAAGACGATGACCGAACTTTTTAGTCTCCCATATATATACCTGCACTTTTAACTTTCTCTGCATTCCTAGGCTGAGAGAAAACAAGCCTTAACCTATAAAAAGAGACTCCAATTCTTTCAGCTGTCCTTCCATGAAAAACAATGGAAACAAAGCAAGGAATAGGCTCAGTTTGCCTTTCTCTTGGCCTTCTGCCCGATTTGCATTAAACTCACTCCTCAATTTCTCTTGGCTCCAAAGTTATTTTTTAAAAGCTTCTAGGAAATTAATCTACTTTCTGGACTGGTTTCGGGCTTACTCTTCACCAGGGTAAAGGTATTGGAACAAAAGAATCATTTTAGCTACAAAAATTCTTTAGCTGTCTTTTGTTTTGGAAAGGATTTCCCAGAATGATTCTGAATTTTTCCACTGATATGGATTCTGCACTTTCAAATCAGAACATGGTGAAAAAAGTGCCCATATTACAAAGAGGATCAAGTCTCAATCAAAAGTCACTCATGCAGCTGGCACAGCTGCATGGGAAAGTGGTGACGACCCTGGCTGCACCAGAGAGAAACAGCTGGAGGTGGGGAAGGCACGCGCTGCGCTGCACGGCTCTGGCTAGGCTTCAGACGCCCACACTGCAGCCTGGAGTCTCCCACAGGCAGGCTTATCTGCAAACCGAGCAGCACCAAGGACAAAGCAGAGTCCTCCCCCGGCCCAGCAGCAGGGAGGCCAAATCCCAGGTTACCATCTCCGCAGCTGCGGACAGGTCCAGACTCTGGAGTTTGCCTGCAAGTTCATCCAGAAGGCGCGCCTGGTCCTCCTGCTTTTCCCTGAACTGGGTCTCTCGCTCCAGCATTAGGTCTTCCACTCTGTCCCGCATGAGAGCTGACTGCTCCACAGTACTGTTGGGGTCTATGGTTGAGGCGTTCACTCTCTCTTCTGCCTCAAGAGATATCTGGAAATACTTGGTAATGCTATCCAAGGCACCTAGGACAGGAAGCGAAATTGCCCACTGTTAGCCTTGCTGTACCCCACTTTCCTCCCCAAGCAGTATCCTTACTTGGTATCTTCTGGCCTGGAATCTACTGTAAAGTTTTAGGAGTCCAGAAAAAAATCTTTATGAAGTAGAGCTTCCCTCTCATGAACAGTGAATCCATCTGTCCCATTAGAAATGTTACACAGGGACTAATAAATAAACTCATCATACACATTCCACGTACAGGCTACAGCTATTTCTATCTGAATAGCTGATGTTAGGCAGCCTGTCAGTTACATGACAGGATTTTTTTCCCCTTTCTCATTTATTCAGGTCCATGCCCATGCCTACCACTATGTACTTAATAGCATGGCATGTTTTGACTGAGCTAAAAAAGAAAAACATCCAAACCAATTGTGCATAAAACAGGACAATGTAATCTAATATTTCTACCTTGTTTTGCTTTTGGGGGAAGGTCTCGTGGCCTATGATATCAGTAAACAAGGATTTGGAAAAATTATTTCCCTTCTCAAATGTGAAAATATTTGCAGAATTTTCAACCTAGTGACTACTCAAAACAACCTGTTTAAGAAAAAGGCCAACAAGTCCAACTACTAACTGGAAAATGCACTGTAACTACTGCTGCTAGCCCCTTGGGACCTTCACTATGTCTCCTGGCCTCTCTGTGCCTCATGTCCCAAATTTGGAAAACAGGGACTTTCATCCCTATTTGAAACAGCGATTTAAGAGAAAGTTTAAGTATTAAAAAGTGGGGGCCCCCTGCCCCCCACTACCGCCAAAGTGTTAAGTCTAGCAGATGGGGAAATCTACTGCCTAAGACTTTTGTGCACAAATGATGCTCACCCCGAATATCTGAGTTTTTGATAAATTCCAGTTGTTCAGCAAGTTCTTTCACAGTGTTGTCAAGGCTTTCTGCTTCTGCCTGGAGCAAGTCCAGTTCCCTGGCTGTGCTGTTGCTTTGTGAAGCCGTGTCAGATAACTTCCCTTCTACTTGAGCCATCTTTTCTGTAACATCTTTGGTTAGTTTCCTATTAAAAAAAAAAAAAAAAAAAAAAAATTACTTATATAAGCTGGACCAAAGGAAAATTGTAAAGTCTTAATTTTACATCTATTCTCTGTCCATTATGTTACTTCAATTTTAGTAACTGAAAACAATTCCACATGTAGGTGTGGTTCTAAGAGAGTCTATTAATGTAACAACTTCCCTTCTTCAAGGACTCTGCAGGCACACAGATAGCACCCAGCTGTGTCAGGTGGGTGGCCCTGTAGTCGTCCAAGTCTGTTGTCCGGTGCGTGCAAGGCAGGGCAGGGCAGCGTGGCCTTCCAGCTCCACAGAAACAACTTCTTGTCTATAGAACTGCACAGGCTCATGACACACAAATGACTGCAGTGCATAACTATGCCACCCGCCAATACTGTTCCCTGCCCGTAAGCATCTCCTCCTTCCAGCTGGACTATGTACAGAAGCCTGCAGCCCACCACGGAGGCGATGGTAGCCACTGAGCCAGCTTGCCACACACTCCTCACCCCCACCAAAGCCCTGTTAAAGGAGTCTCACTCTCCCACCAAACCACTCTCTATTTTTTTAATAAGAAAAAGGATGATCTATGGAGGACAATCATATAGCTTTTATAACATCCCTGTATAATCCAAATCCAACTATGCTTTGTTCTGTATCTTCTATCTTAAGAGCTGCCCTTCAGGAATCTATGTGAAAATATAGGGTGTGGTCTGCATCTGTCACAAAGGAGGATTTGACAAGACCTTAGCTCTATAGTGACTGGTTCACCTAACCAAATGGAATTGTTTTCTCTGGAACATATGAATATAAAAAACATAGCTATGCACGCTGGTGTCTGTCTCCATCTCAGCCACTCAGGAAGGACTGCTGCAGAGTAAGAATCACTCATGCCCCCAAATCTGGGGCCAGCCTGGGCATCACAGTGAGACCCTGGCTGTTAAAAGGAAAAATAGAACAAGACTAAGAAAATGTAAAGATGCTAAAATCGTATGGGCAATTAGAAAAATTACATGTAGGTCTTAGATAATACTATGAATGAGCCAACTTGAAGACCAAACACTTAACTGAACTCATTGGATTTGGTAGGCTAATTTGCACATTACAAACCCAATGGTTTGTTCCCTGAGGGAAGCAGTTTCATTTTTCAGTGTTCTGCTTTCATTAATATGTTGTCTCACAAAAGGCTTTTGTTTCTTCATAAGTCTCGAAAATATTACAATTTTTTTTTAAAAAAGAGTCAAGCATAGCACTGGTTTTTGTTGTTCGGGGGATTAAGCCCAGGGCTGACACACACTAGGATGTACAGCCCCACAACGCTGTGTACTTTTTAAGTGAAACCATTTCAGGTCCCAAAACAAATATAATTTTGAAAACAAAAACTACTGAAGCTGCTTTTCCTGAGAAGACAGCAATTTGCCTCATGGGCACTAAGGGTAGAAACCGCTGCCCCTGGACGGTTCACCCGGGACACCCAGGACTTTAGTTCTCTTGCAGGCACGTGAGACCCAGGCCAGCAGTACGCTCTATATGCACTCAGAAAAGCCCTAAAACTTGTGACTGCTGCACATGAGGAAACCAAACCTCTTAGTAAGGTCAGCTTCCTGGTTAACACGTCATCAGTCCATAGCAGATATTCTTGAACACCCTGTCACCCACATGTCTTGGACCCCCCAACCCTGAGGCTCTAAGTCAGGGGCACCGGTGGCATTTACTTTAAGAACGTGGAACTTTAGCTACGGGTGTCAGTTGTTCCCTGCCTTTCCAAACGTCATGTTTGATGAAGAGTCCATGCAGATTTTGAGAGATGCTGACTAAAGTCCCAGGGCACACAAAAGAGTTACTGTGCTCTGTCAGAATCCAGTCATCGCAGAGGAGATGGCTCGGTGGAATAAGCGCTTCCCTGGCAAGCGCAAGGGTCTGAGTTCAATCCCCAGTTCCGCAAAAAAAAAAAAAAAAAAAAAAAGAATCCAGTCATCATCAGGTAGGGACAAGAAAGGGCTCTTCCTGTTTTGACCTTCTACTCACTCCTAGGTCTTCACACTGCTGTTTCTCAGGTTCTTTTTGGCAAAAGTAGTTCCAATGTTTGTGGGCAGGGAAAACAAGGATAGAAGGAAAGGCAGAAATAGGATTGTTAGCAAATTAGGTCCACCTCAACTTTCTCAGCATTAAGTGAGCTGGGAGTGGTGGTGCATGCCTGTAATCCTAGCACTTCAGAGGCCAAGGCAGGAGGATGGCAAGTTCAAGGCCAGGCTGGGCTATGTAATGAGTTCCTGGCTAGTGCAGAATATAAGCCTCAGAAAAGAGGGTGAAGTTGTGTTTAGTGTAAGCCTTGAAGCGGAACCTGTGTCCCAGAGACCTCAGTCTCAGAAACAAGACCAAACAAACAAACAAACAAAAAAAAAAAGCCATCTAGTCTGAAAGATGAATACCCAGAGAAAGAGTAGGAGGATTTTTTTTGTTGTAAAAAAGTTTTTAACAATTAAATGACACGCTGGTCTAGTGTACCAATGGCTTAGCAGCAAACTAAGTTGGGAAGTCTACCTGTGGTGCTAGAATTTCCTTAGTAGTAGTGCTAAGTTACAATAATAATTTGATTTATAATTTCTCACAATTACATTATCATTTCATGAATCAATACCTGTGTTACTCTGTAGGGTAAAGCAAGTATTATTTTCCCCATCATCCAAGGGAAAGAAAATCGAGGCCCATGGGTTAGTGCTGATCTAAGCCCACAAGCCTGGTGTGCGTGGAGCTGAGGCTCCTATGGAGCTCCTGGCCCAGTGCTGCTCCGCCTCTTCCACCTACAGCAGCGCTATGAGCTGGCAGTGAGGGAACATGTGTACTTCCCGTTCTGCAGCCCGCAGGATCCTGGGCCCAGTGACACACCCCTGTCACTCACCAAGGACCGCGGGGAATGGACAGGACAGGACAGGACAGGACAGGACAGGACAGGACCCGAGCGATTGAATAAAAGCACTGTGCCAGAAAAGCTTCGATGTTTAAATGTTGAGCAAACACTGTAAGCTATTGCTCCAACCCTTAAATACTTACTCGGCTTCCTCAAAGAGATTCCCGATGTTTTTTAGTGGCTCAGCTGCCGGGCTCTGGGCCAAGATGGCTTTTATTTCATTGACTTTCTTCTCCACTGCATCCACGGTCTCCCGGTAAGGCCCGATCACGCCGCTGATCTTCAAGGCCTTGGCTCTCTCCAGGAACCTGTGGGTCCTGTTGGTCAACTCGGCGATGATCACATCCCAGAGTGCAAAGCACTGGTGGCAGGGTGCGCAGTCCGGGAAGACCCCCGAGAACCCCCGTGTGCACTTGTCACAGCGTGGCCCCTCCACACCCTCCACGCAGACACACAGGCCAGTGGACTGGTTACACTGCGGCGTCTCGATGCCCCTGGGGTCACAGTCACAGGCTGGAAGCAAACAGCAATGCCAGTTGATCTCGCTCAGGAGGCTCAGTGACCATATTTGGTTCTTAACCATAACCGTAATAATTAAAAATGAATAGCTAACACTATGTGCCAGGCATTAAAGAAATGTCCCACAGGCATTTCACTTAACACTCACTGGAACCATATATGTATGAGTGCAAAGATCTCCACTATGTACAGATGTGGAAACTGAGCCGCAGAGAGGTCACGTGACTGCTCTTGGCCACACAGCAGGAAAAAGGCCAAGTCAGGATTCTGCCCCCTGCTGGTAACCACCCTTCCATGCTCAGCACTCAGTCACAAAACACCAAGGATGATCTAGGGGGCCGGAGAGCCTGTCGGTCTCCCTGTGTCACTGGTTCACTAAACAGCAGCTGGCACCTGATGTAGAGCCAAATGCCACAGGGTAAACATCACACCTGTGACCTGGCAAAGACCCACATTTCTGGGCCGCAGCCGTGGCCGATGTTAATGATAGTGCCTAGTCCATCCCCAAATCTCAGGTGACCAAATCATTTCTGTATCAGTCCTTCAGATATCATGGTACCTCTTCCGTATTTGAAGAACAAAAGGCCTGGACATACGTTCTGGCCCACAGTCCGTGCTGCGGGGAGGTATGAATAAGTAAAATAAACACTCTTATCTCCCTAGACTGCACAGCCTTCAGGGCGGGCCCAGGCTCACACCGCTGTTACCTCTCAGCTTTCGCGCTCAGAGTAACCTGTGCTTAGGCCGTGGCCTCCCTAGGCCCCCACGCCCTGCCTTTTCCTGTCAGCCAGCAACACTCCAAACTCTTGGGCCCCAAGACCTAAGAGGCCAGCATTGGGATCAGGAACACAGCTACTGTGCACTTCTGGGGACACATGTTCCGTTTCTAGGCTTACACTAAACCCGACTTCACCCTCCTGACAACGCAGTTCCTGGAGCTCTAAGGACTTGAATGAAGTCCAGTTTCCTGAGTTAGAAAAGAACCAAAGCAAAATGTCGGTGAGTATGGAAGAAGTCCCAAGCTGAGGAAACAAATCAGGCATTCAAAAGGGAACAGGCTGTGTCCTTCTACTCAAGAAATACAAGAGGAAGAAGGAGCAACATTTGGACAATGTCCATGTCCCAGAGCTTCTCTCTTCTGCCTCACACTTCTCAAACCTTGGTTTGGAGATGCGGGCCTTTGCTGAGAGCCAGGGAAAGAGTTCCCTCAAAGGGAAACTCAGCTTCTGCTTCTGCTATCTATGAATCACCAGAGACTCCTCATGTGACCCCTTGACTGTTGAGGGGCACAGTGCACAGCCTCAGGCTGGAGTTATCCCCAGTGCACTCAGTGGTGGGCGGAGGAGATTCCTCCTGTGTCACGGCACAGTGGTCAGCTTGTTCAGACTCCACAATCAGCCAAGAGCCCTGAGGCGCACGGACAATGGCGACATTCAAGAGACTGTAAGTTGGAGGCTCTACTCATTTGTCTTTTACATCACTTCATTATTTTTCCTTAAGGGCAACACTTAGCTATGACCTAAGTCCTTCCGTAAGCATATTGTCTGCTACTCAGCACCAGAGTGTCTAAATTTGTGCTTGCCAACAAACCCTTCCAATAGAAGATGTACTTGGCAATTCAATACATAATTCAAGAAAAGAGTGTACGCCCTTTGCCTATGGCCCCATCTAATTTCAGAAGAAACTTTGTCCTTGCTGATCTTTGGAGCCAGGCCTTCAAGTCCTGGTCTCCCACTTGGAGGGTGCCCCAGGGCACCCAGAACCCTGCACTGTGTCTCTTCCTTACGCTGCCCTGACCCGGTGGGCCTGGCTCCCACTCCCACAGCTGTCCAGTGGGCATGAGGCTGATGACTGCCCCCCCAGGTTAAGTCATTTCTTGCGGTCTCTGTCTCTGTGTCTCTCTCCCTGTCTCTGTCTCTGTGTCTATGTGTGTCTGTCTCTGTGTCTTTCTGTGTCTCTGTCTGTCTGTCTGTCTGTCTGTCTCTGTCTCTCTCTCTCTCTCTCTGCATACTTTGTAGGTTACCAGCTTTCTCTACATGGAATCACAGGCACTTGGGGTCAACACTTTCTTGTTTGAGAGCCTGCTTTAAGCTCCTGACCCTTAAGCGGCATTTATCATCCCTGGCTCCTGAACACCAAGGGAATCTACCAGTGATGGCAACTCTTTTAGGGATGAGTACCCAAAACCTATGTGTTTATCCCAAGTGACAACCCTGAGGTTTTCACTTAGAACAAACAATTCACACATTAACATCTTTTTGTGTTCAAAGACAAGTATCGCACATGCCATCCGTTTGCCACCACTGGCCTGCACCAACTTCCCCACAACAGTGTAAATTCAAAATGCTTTCTTCTCCTGAATTAGAAATGCCCTGAACCAGCTCAGCTGGCAGGCACTCAAAGGAGACACGAGACAGCAGTGCTCAAATAGAGGCAATATTTTTATAGCTCTGAATTGCTACAGTTAGCAACTCAGTCAGGTACCGTCACCCTATATTTTAACACTCTGGAAGAAGAGGGTTTTCTTCTCATTGGCATTTAAAAAAAGACCAAAGATAAGTTTGGAAAAATGTTATAATTTAGTACGAAAGCAAGACTGGAACCCTTAGATCTAGAACTGGAAAGAGCTCTTGGATTGTGTTCCTGTGGGCTACATTCTTAGGCTCATAACAACAGCTCCAAAGGGTTTGAAACCAACATTTTTCTGGATGGGGGTGTGCTGAGTGGACATAAAGACTGATTATAATATAAAATACAAAGTCTTCTGTTCCCTGACCTTTCTTATTTAGCAGGACTGGGGTAGAAGCTGGGGCCTCTGCGCAGAGCTACGTGACCAGCTGTGCTCTCCTCTGTTCTGCTCTTCTATTGGCTGATCGATCAATCAGCTGATCTAGCTACCGACCTACCTACCTAGAGACAAGGTCTCACGATGTACTTCAGGCTAATCCTGAGCTCACAATCTAGCCCACGCCAGCCTTGAACTTGAGGAGATCCTTCTGCCTCAGCCTCCAGAGTGCTGAGATAACAGGAATATGGCACCAAACCTGGCCTCTTTCCATTTTTTTTTTTTTTTTTTGAGGCACAGACTATGTTGCTCAGGCTGACTTTGAACTTGCAATGTTCTACCTAAGACTGAAAAGGGTTAATGTGAAACTAATGTAATGAGTTAATGTGAAACTAAATGTAAAAAATTACTTTGCTCAACTTTCTGTGACCCTGCTTCCTTGTAAGACCGCAAGCAGGCTCGGTGTACCGTTGATAAATCATCAATAGACTGAGAGTTAGCAGAACAGGTTTACAAAATAAATCAAAGTAAAGGTCAAAATGTTACCACAAAATAAATAAATAAATAAAGCAACACAGAAAATGAAAATCATACATTGTACAATAGGAATAAACTTTAAAAAAAGTTTCTAACTATACAAAACCAATTAAAAAGCGTTGCTATGGGAATCAAGACCACTGTACACAGGTGTACCTTAAACAAGAATTAGACAATGCCAGGTTCACATTCTTTTATGTTTAAAATGCCACGAAAGGGAAAACTAAAGGAGACAACAAAGCCGGGAGGCTGCGCCCAAGCTCCCAGAAAGAATGTATGCCGAGTAATAGTCACGCTGTCCCTTAAGGTACTGTTCTATGTTACATGACAAATTTGTTTGCCAAACAGGATGCAGTTTTTACCTTTAAAACGTCTCTACTTCTAAGGCTTTCTCGCCGCTTGTCCTCTCCTGCATGAATATGGTCAAGCAGTCCTGGGCCCGGTAATAAAGGCTCATAAAATTTAATAATTGGATTTTGGTCTGGTTTCTGTGTTGAGAACCCATAACAAGACTCCTGAGTAACTGGTATTATTACAGGCATGTACCACCATGCCTGGCTTTAGGACTAAGTGTAGGAAACAAATTCTGAGTACATTTCACTTTGCAAATCACATACACATAATAGATGCATAAAAGCACAGAGGACTGGAAAGTTCTACTCTGACTGAGTATGTGTGTGCCAGGGAGGGGTGGGCTCTGGTGCTCTCTAGAGGCACAGCCAGTGAGGGAACCCCAGGCCTGACTCCAGGCCCCTCTGCCTGTCTCCCTGCTGCCACCCAGCCACAGCCTTGAGGCCAGACAGTCTTGTAATCTGTTTACTAACTAAATGTCTGATTATCTTAGAGACAAACACTAATGAGAGGAATAGAAAGGACTACACATGACCAGCTTCAATCCATTTTCCTTACACAAGCTGCATTTCCTTGAGGGTACTCAGGATTCAGTCTGCATGTATTTGTCCTGATTATCAGCTTAATACAAAAAGAGCCAACTTCTAGATAAAATGAATACAGTCAGTAAACACCAATGCTAAACATCTCACCCAGCACAGTTTCTAAAATAAGATCTAACTTTCGACCCAAGAAAGTTGGGGGGGGGGGTGCTGATGATAATCTACAATTCCTCTAGCAAAATTAGAGGGAACGGTTATAAGCTGAGAGGGTAAGGGGCAACCTTCCGAGCACTCCTCGGAACAAGGCTCTGATTTTGCTCTGGGTAAAAGGCCTCCCAAGCTGACAAAGCTGAGACTGTAGCACAGGGTCAGAGGGCTTGGGCGGCCCAGGCTACTGTGCCAATGAGACATCTGATAGGACCAGCGGCTCCAAAGGCATTATCTGGAGATCTGGAGAAAAATCAAGCCCGTGGGCATTAGAAGACTGAGGAATTACAGTGAAAAGTGACAGGGCCCTGGAGAACACATTTCAGTGAAGGTTTCACTGGGGGAAGAGTGGTAGTGCAAGGGGATGGACTTCTGACAGACTGGGCTCAGACCCCAGAAACCATTAACACCTGAGGAATGAAACTGCTTGTTCCCTGACGCAGCGCACTTCAGCCCCTCCTGGAAACAGACCTTCACCAGGGCGCGCCCGGCCCGGCCTGCCTGGCCCCACGTGCCACGCTGCTCTACCCACCGTGAGGCATTTTCCTGATGTGAAGGAAGGTTCTGGTTTCTGACCTTTCGTGGGAGACACCAAGTGAGCTGACCACCTGAACACTGTTATTTCTTATTGTTGTATCCAAAAGAGAAAGAGGTTGTTTTAAACTTAAAAGTCCAACATCAACATACAAATTCACATGTATAACAAAGAAAATAAGGGCCAGGGAGATGGCTCAGTAGAATAAGTGCTTCCCTGGCAAGCACAAGGACCTGAGTTCAATCCCTGGGTCTGCCAAAAGAAAAGAAGGGGCCAGCCAAATAGCTCAGCGAATTAAAGTGCCTGCAAACAGGCACAGGGGCCGGGGGTTCGATCCCCGGGCCTGCCGCGCTGTCCCTATCCCTGGGGCATGCTGAGAGGGCAATTGAGACTGGGCGTGGTGGCATGTGCCTGTAATCCCAGCTCTTGGGAGGCTGTAAACAGGTGGATCACTACTGAGTCTAATCTAGTAGTGAGACCCTGAACACCCTGTAGACCCTTTCCTAAAATACAAAAAAAAAAATCTAAGAATACCTAAACAATAATAGAATATATTCAGTTATAAACTAAAACTGCAAGAAAACAGAGCAGAAGACACAGTCAAAAATACTAATTAAATCTTTGTCATAAATGACTTTAAGATAGGATAATATTTGTCAGGTTCAGAAAAACGAAAATGTCAACTCCAGCCAGGTGTGGTGGCAGCCTTCCAGTACTCAGGAGGCTGAGGCAGGAGGATTGCCATGAGTCTGATGCCAGCCTGGGCTGCTTAATAAAGGCCAATCTGGACTATATAGCAAGACCCTATCTTAAAAAATATCAAATAAATAAAAATTTAATAAAATAAAGAAAGAAAATGTCAGCTGGATGTAATGGCACTACCTGCAATTCCAGCACTATGTGAAGCTAATGCAAGATGAATATAAGCTAGAGCCCAGCTTGGGCAATTTAGCAACTCAGTCAGACCTTATCTCAAGTAAAAAATGAAAAAGGCCGAGTACGTAGCTTGGCACAAAGGCCCTGGGTTCAATCTCTGGCACCACGGGGTGGGGGATCTTTTCCCAGCCTTCATGAAAATGTGGCTTTCATCCCCACTAACGGACTACGAATGCTGGCCTCATCTTCACCTCTTCACAGACTGATGCCCCAGTCCCTGCTGGAGGGACACTGAACTCATGCACAGAAGTCAAAGATTTTAACTTGACATGGTCGGCTACAGCGGTGGCGAACCTATGACATGCATATTGTTTTTAAGACCAAAAGTGTTAATATAGGAGTCTTTTTTTCTAAACTAAACCCCCAGTATTCAGGTTTTCATTGAAGTGTCACTTGCAATAAATAAGGTGCAGTTGCGGCAGGGCACTTGACTCTCAAAGGCTTGCCACTGCCGCGCTGCCGGACCCACCAGCATCAAATGATCTCTTTAGGAAAACCAGGAGTCTCTTGCATGAGCTACCAAGGAAGTCCATTACAAAGTACAGTTTGGAGAGGAAAATAATTTTTTAAAATCCCCTTGCAGGCACATACGGGTTCATGTTTCCTTTTTGCTAGAAGCAGCCCCGCGTCTGCAGTTTGCAGACGTGGGTGCAGGTACAGTGCCAAGGTAAGCGCAGCCCTGGGTGCAGGGCTGGAGGAGCAGCACCCACTTGTACCACCAACACTTACCTATGAGGCTGGATTAGACTTTTCAGCAAAGGTGGAGCACATGTTTCTCATATCGTTATCTGCGCTGCACCCCGGGATTTAGCAAAGGTCCTCGCAGCCCCCGCCCCATGCCACCGTCCAAACCTCACCTCGGCACTCCACGTCAGGGTCTCCCCAGAAGAGCTCCTGGCACTCGCTGCAGGTGCGGCCTCCAAAGCCCGGCATGCACTGGCACTGCCCTGTGAACTACAGCCAGAACACAGACGGGTCAGGGCCGCAGAGGTGGTGGCTGTCATCCTTTGCCCAGCTGCTGCAGTGACTGAGCTGCTGACTTCAGACAGGGACCCTCTTCCTTTCTCTGTCTTGGGCACCAAGGTCACTGGCCAGTACCTCCTCCAGGCTCCCTCGAAACAGGGTCAGAAAGGTACACAGCACATGGGATCTGCGTCCGCCTTCCTTCACTGTTCCCTCATAGAGCCACACAATCCTAGGCCAACTCTGACTCAACCTGCCCAACCTGGGAGCATGTCACTTAGGAATGTGTCAGCTGTCTACATGCTGGAGATCGCTAGTCTGATGCCAGGGTCAGGTCAGGAAGAGAAACTTGCGCTCTCATCACCACCCTGTCCCCTCTGCTGCTCCTCACCCACTCCTGGGCACTACCCTGAATCACTGTGTGTGTGGTTAGGTCACCCCAGCCCAGCAGGGACCAGTGAGGGCTAAGACCAGACTGCAAGGTGTTAGCCCAGCTGTGCTCCATGTTGGCCTTTCTCCAACTAGGGAGAGGCCACCAAAGGGGCTGACTGTCACCGGGGCCCCCGATGGCCTCTCCCCTCACCTCATTGCAAGACGGCCCAAAGGAATGCTCCGTGTTGCAGCCACACACTTGGCACCCGGTCCCGCTGGCCAGCTGCCAGGTATTGGGCGCACAGCGGTCGCAGTTCTGCCCGATCACGTTGGGAAGACATGTGCACTGGCCAGTGGCCTGGTCACAGCGGCAGTCAGAGCCCTCACAGTGCTCTGGCTCAGTGCCAAGGATGTTGCATACACACTCTGAAAAAGACAGCGAAGTCAGAGGAGCTCCTGGTCACAGACAAAGACGTGCGGAGGTCAGCTACACCTCAACAGCCGGGGTTCTCCCTGTCCCGACCTCCATCTAGAGGCACAAGCAGGGGAGGGAGTAGCTTTTTAAAATCTTAAAATTACTCTTCTTCAGAAGCTTTTGTGAAATGTGACACAGTTCTGCCCTTTCCAGGGCCAATGACACATTTCCACAATGCCCACGACAGTGTTGCCAGTAGTAGTTTCTAGAGCTACAGATTCAGTGAGCTGATCATCCACTGTACTAAAAGTAAAGATATAATTGGAAACAAAAAGGGCGCCACTAGGAACTGAGGTTTCCGGGGGCTTCAAACTCCTGGTGGAAAAAGAGGTAATTGGAGGTGTCCGAAGCAGCAGGTGGAAGCCCTCGAAGCCAGCGGGCTCTAAGGAATCTGGGCCTGCTGGTCCCCAACACTCCACATGCATCAGGACAGATAAAAATGGGCCTGTAGCAGCAGCAGCAAAGAAAATGTCTGCTGCTCTCTTGATAACGAGAGAAGTAATACGGACCCAGGAAACCGCTCAGAAATTTCACTTCTTTCTCTTCCCTAGGGGGCAAGGACCAGCTCCCTCGATGAGGGCAGAGAACTGTGGCCCGCGGGGACCCCTAAGGCCCGCGCAGGCGGCAGGTGGCAGGCTCTGCGCACAGCACATCGATGCGCTCTTTCACGCTGTTCACCATAGTGATGACCAGTCTCCCGTTTTGATTTTCTCTCCCCAGCACTGAGCCACATCACGAGACTTCCATCTTGCCAGAAACTGAGAATACAAAGATACTGAACAATTCTGTCCCATCTTTCACTGGAAGTGCAATTTTTTTCAATTTACTTTTTTTATTTTTATTTATTTATTTTTTGTACTAGGAATTGAACCAGGACCTTGTACTTGCCAGGCAGGCGCTATGCCACTAAGCTATATTCCTGGCCCTGACGGTACAATCCTGACTCCTGCCTGAACAGGCGCTTTTCCCATGTGAAATAAATACATGAAGAATAAAATCCTCTAAAGAAGAGGAAGTTAGAAGCTGGGCCTGGCAGCTCAGGCGCTGTGAACCCAGCATTCCGTGAGACGGAGGCAGGAGTATTTCAAGTTCAGGCCCCACCTGAGCAACTGAGTAATCTAGCAAGACCTTGTTTTCAAGAAAGAAGTTTTTAAAAAGGTGAGTTATAGTTGGGGACGTAGCTCAGCGCAAAGGCGCAGGGTTTGAATTCCAGTACAGAAAAGTAAGAAGTAGACAGAAATCAATCTAAAAGAAACAAAGCTTTGTAAGTAAGGAGGGGTGAAGGGATGAGAAGAGAATGAGAAAAAAAGAGGAATCAAAAAAGTTGGCACTTATTTTTTGAGGAAGATTAAATAATAATCTACCTCATGGAAAGAGAGACAGTGAGAAGAAATCAACCAATCAATCAATCAATCAATCAATCATAGGGGCCCGGGGAAATGTCTCAGTAGAGTAAGCGCTTGCCTGGCAAGTGCAAGGGCCTGAGTTCAACCCCCGGTTCAAAAAAAAAAAAAAAAAAAAAAACAATCAATCATGCTAAGGAGGCGGCCAAGTGAATGAATGCACATCTTACTCCTGCAGTCCTGCCGGAGGGCATCACCATAGTACCCAGGGCGGCACAGCTGGCAGTGGTCTCCTTCTGTGTGGTACAGGCATTTGAGGCACCTTCCAGTCTCCTTGTCACAGGCCTCTGGGTCGCTCATGTCGATGTTGTGGTGGCACTGGCAAGGCTGGCACATGCCCCCGACGTCCGAGGGATTGCCAAAGAACCCCGAGGCGCACTCATCACATCTGGAGCCTATCGTGTGGGAAAACCAAGCACAACACCTTCCGCTGGGCCAATCAGCGGACACCTGGCGCTGGCATCCCTGCCCAGCGGGGCTCATGCCTCAGCCCAGGTGACAGAGCCTGGCCCATCACACACGGAGGGGCAATAAAGGCTTCCAGCTATGCACAGAAGAAGCCTTTTGCGGCCACAGAAGGACCAAGGCAGTTAGGAGTGTTTAGTTTGTCATGTACAGGGCAAAGCACGCTAGCCACTAAGGAACAAGGGAACAATGTAAAAGGCAGCCTGAGAGTTAGAGTCCTAACCCCAGGGTTATATAAACCAAAAAGAGCAACTGCAAAGTGGGGTCCTTAATGATGACCAGTTTCCCTCAGAAACCCTGAAATCATACACAAAAAGCATTCACTGAAATACGCCTAAGTGTAACTGCACGTGGGCCGGCATCTTCAAGGATGAAGTGTAAGGGGTCTATCCAGCAAAACTCTCTTAGTGCTGAAAGGCAATGAACAGCGCGGAAGATGCTCGGCTCTGACTGGCTCAGCCCTGGCAACTCCCTCAGTGATACTCCTTTTTCTTTCTCCCCACTTCATTACACCAAGACACTTTTGGTAGAAGCTAGATAAAAGAAGGGAGTCAACTGATCTTCCTACTGTTTAAGAACAGAAAAAAAAGAAAATGGCCCCCAGGGTTTTGCATCTCCTTGCGATCTTGACTCCTCTGTGTGCCAAACTGCAAAACAGCAGGAATTTTCCAACTCCCTTCACTTCTAACTAAGCAATGCGCAAGTGAACTTAACCAGATCACCTTTCATCTTTTTCTCACTACTAATGAACTAAAGATGTAGCTCTTCCTTCTCTTCTGTCCTAAAAAGCCTGTGCGTGACTTACCAATGTAGCCTGGCTCACAGACACAAGCAAGCTGTAGAGTGACGGGATCCTGGTAACAGCTCCTGGCAAACTGGCGTCCGCTGTCAGGACCATCCGGGCAAGGGCAAGGGCGGCAGTGGTCCCCTGATCCAATGATGGGGTCGCCATAGTAACCAGCCAAGCACCTGCATTGGTCAAAAAGAGTGAGCCCTGACTGCAGTTGTAAACACTCTGTTCCAAGAAACTCTGAAACTCAAACTCTGCTGTGTGTGCGAACATTCTTCCTGGTTCCTCACACTGCCACACGGAAGACTTGCCGCTGCAGCAAAATGCTTCGCCATCTTTGGCTCCAATCAAAGTCCCTGGGGAGGCTACAGACATATTTCTGGGATATGGTCCCCCAGTTTGTGGTGTAACAGGCCCCAGGTGTCGGGCTCACACCTGCCAGGTCATGCACTGCACATGTGGTCCCAGACTCCCTGCTCCCAGAGGAAGCAACACAGCCCGCTGCCATCAGCGGTCCCCCACCCTGAGTGACAGGGCTGCTTCCTCTTTTTCTCGGGCATCTGTGGGTGAGGCTGGCACTGTCTAGCCTGAGTGCCTGGGAGAGAGAACATGTCAGCAAGCCCAGTTGTTCAGGGTCTAAAGCCACATCCTAAGAGGCAGCTTTTGTCAGTCACAAAGCTGCCAAGGTGGTCTGTCGCTAGGTGAGTTCTAAGTTCATGAGTCAGGTGGTTCTAAACTTGGACTGAGAGATGTAATTCATTAGTGGCCAAATCTAACAGCTCAAAGCTCCTCATGGTATAGGCAAGGGATTCATGGTGGGTGACTGATTTGCAAAGCTCACACATCCCATTAGACAATAAGCCATAAGTTTGATGATTATTAGAGAGGACTTCTTTTATTAGGCCAGGCTGCTATCCTCAAGATGAATACTACAAAGCTTATTCTGTAGAATATCTACATCATAAGAGCTTGAAGGACCTCTGGAGGTCATTGTTAGGTTTTTCAGTGGTAAAGAGACAGGAAAGATAAAAGAGGCCTCCACTGACTAAATGGCATGGAGAGAATGGGAGGTGGAATGGGGGATTCTCTGACAGAGAAAGCTGAGACTTCTGTGGAGTTTTGCTAGGGGTGGAGCTTGAGGGGCAGTTTCAGTTACATGGAAGGAGATGATTGGAACTCTCTTGTGTGTGAGGGAAAGGGGACAGGAAATCGTATCCAGGGGCCTGGGTTGGGGGCGAAGAAGAAAGTGGTCATTGGGAAGAGAAGCTATTGTTTTAAGGGCTTCAGCCATGTTAGATGACTACCATAATAATTTAGCAATTCATACTAGGGCCAGAACCTATCAGCCATCAATCTGTCCTGAATATTACACTTACAGGACATTGGATGATGATGCAGCAGGTCAGAAGGACAGCTGACGCTGCAACTCAGGTCTTACGGTTTCCAACTCAGTGTGTTTTTCATAATTTTGTTTTTTCCTTTTGAGTCAAGACACAATTTTTGTTTGTTTAGACAAGGCCTCGATATGTAGTTCTGGCCTTGGACTCACTAGGTAATCCAGTTGGCCTCAAACTCCTGGGATCCTCCTGCCTCACTGTCCTGGGTGCTAGGATTACAGGCATACATGACCACACCCAGCAGCATTTTTTTTTAAAAGAATAAAGGAGTAGAAAAAAGGTGTTTGGAGGAAATTAATTATGCATTTTATTAGATGCAGAAACAAAAGAACAAGTTCCCTAACTGCTGGGGAAATCTACAGTGATAAAGTAATTTTGCAGTTTTCTGAGCAGGTACCCACGAGCCTTTCATAGGTAAAGTACAACCAGAAGCACCATGCTGCAAATGGAGCGTTCCCTTCCGTCTCCCTTCAGGAGAAATCTGAACATAGAGTTTCTTTTTAAAATAATGAGACTGAAATTCTGGTCTCACAGAAGGGTGAAAGAACGAGAGGAGCTTGGCTTAACCTAAATAGCAAAGCTCCAAGCACTTCAACAGTGTCACTGAGCACACTGAGGCCTGAAACTCTTCCCTTCTCCCACATCCTTTCCCATTTTCCTGCAAGTCAAAATCTTTGCCTAATAAAACGCCAAGCCAGTTGCAAATACGGCCTCATGGGCTCTGTTTCCAGATGCACAGCAGTGGTCTCACCACAAACTGGCAGCGCAGAAACACCTCTGGGGTTTGCTCTGCCCTTACCCTGCTTTCTCCTTGTTACTCTAACTTCTTCATCTGTCTCTTTCTCAGACCAGTTCTCCTCTGAAATACTAACAAAGATAAAAATGGAGCCAAAAACAAAAGAAGACACGAACATCTGAATTTCTCCCCTCACTGCTGTGTGACTGTGTCCCAGTTTTGTTTACTCCACAGTTCTGTGGTTTAAGTGAGACTGATTCAAAGGAGAAGTCACCCAACCTCTACCCTCCTGGATCCACCTAGCATCAAGCCAGGAGCCACATGTTGGCTTCAGGAACATCCAAGTGCCTACATTCACTGCAAGCTTCGCTTTCATCTGGTAAGCAACTTTGGAATTAACTGAACAAAATTTCTCAAATGACTTCTCGAAACAAAATTCCACGTAGAGTGGAGGAATATTAGGAGAGGGAAGTTACTGTTGAGTAGAAGTAGAGGCTACTGCTGGGTGTCGTGATGCACACTACAATACAAGCACTCTGGGAGACTGAGGCAGGAGTATCACAAGTTTCAGCCCAGCCTGGGCAACTAAAACTCAAACTAAAAAAAAGGGCTGGGAAATAAATGTAACAGTGTGAATGCCCTGCCTGTCTACAGTCCCCAGTATCACTAATAAGAAAAAAAAAGGAAGAATTTTTTTAAAGTGGAGACTATTTTACAAAAAAAAAAAAAAGCCAATTTTTATTTTGGATCCCCTGCTGAGTCCGTGATTGGGACTGGGTGTGGTGGTGCATGCCTGTAATCCCAGCACTTAGGAGGTTGAAAATAGGAGATCACTATAAATCCAATCTGTGTAATTAGACCCCGTAGACACTGTACAAAATACATTTTAAAAAACTGTCTTTCTGAGACAGGGTCTTACTATGCAATTCAGGCTGGCCTCGAACTCAGCAATCCTCCTGGCTTATCCTCCCCAAGTTCTGGGATTACAGGCATGCGCCACCATGCCTGGCCAGAAAGCAGGATTTCAATCTGTGTTTCCAAATTAGTAATGAACAGGGTATGCAATTTTTTCATCTGAGCTATTTTTACCTCCTGAGCTAAGTGATTATCATCACTGAAGACACATTCTACATCCTATCCTTACTATTTGTCTGGTGCAGGACTTTATATCCATAATGATTAGCAAATTAACATTTTCCTAACTGGAGACCAGCTGTCCTTATGCATATTTTATGTCTCTTGTTAACTGTGGTTACATAAAACATTTTGAAAAACAAAGCCATTTAAAGTATTAATCCCATTTGGATTTAGCGTCTACTTTGAGCCAACTTTGGCATTAACATTTCGCAACTCTCATCAGAGGCCAATGGGCGCCAAAACAGAGGTGAGATTTCCATGCAGAGGCATGGTGAGCTGAGGGCTGAGTGCACAAGGGCAGACCCAGCGGTTTGGTTCTCCGCCACGGTCCCAGCGCCAGAGTAGGGCGTGCCCCATGCGAGGTATAAACTGCACACACACTGCATAAATGAATGTTCCTAGAAAGTACAGGGGGGCAGGGGAAGGTGGAAGCAGAAATACACGAGCCTTTCGGAGCCCACAGTGGTTAATTCTGAGGTTTGTCTCAGCCGAAGCCAATGTCATCCTCTTTGGTGCAGGGGGCAGTGCCGCTCACACCTACCTTTCACAGTTGTGGCCCGTGGTGTAGTCCTGGCACCGCAAGCACTCCCCTGTCGCAATGTCGCAGTCATCAGCATGGCCGTTGCACTGGCAGGGCTGGCAGCTCGGAAAGCCCCAGTAGCCAGGCAGACATCGGTCGCACTGCCGAGTGTACACCCCCTGGAAACAGGGGCACTGGCCAGTGTTCGCGTCGCAGAAGGCACTGACGGAGCCTTGCAGGTGGCAGTCACAGGCTGCAGAAAAACCACCCAGGAAGCGCCCTGAGACATTCACCCAACAGGACGCACTCCTGTCATAAACGCCCTGGCCTTCTGCTCAGAGAGCTTAAGGCTCGCGTGACCGGTTCCCAGCTGGCGCGGTGCCTTTGCAGGCTGCCCCATCACTCCCCCTCACTGCCCAATTCATCGGAATACAGTGCAGCACTGCCAGTGCACCTACGTTTGCATCCACTGGGCCCAAAGCCAAAGGTTCCAGGAGCACACCTGTCGCAAGTTCTTCCGACCACATTGGGCCGGCACTGGCACTGGCCTCCATTGGGGTCACACACAGAACTCAAGGAGCCCTGAGGGTCACACTCACAAGCTGCAGGGGAGAAGACACCAGAACCAGGACATGAGAGCCGGCACCCTGTTGCTCAGCTGGTCCCTAGCACCCCCAACTCTTGCTCCTTTACTACCTGGCTTCTTCAGAATTCCAGTTCAGAATGAAATCAGGCCTTGGGGGAGGGGCAGGGACAGAGTTGGCAGACCAAAGCAGTTCTCCTAGGACGGACCCTTTTCCTCTTGCCTCCTGAGCCCAAATATCCCACGACATTAAACTACAGCCCAGTGACCTCTGCAAGTTTGCCTGATCTTTCGCAATGAAAAACGTGCACTTTTGTACACAAGCTGTATCCACACCATCTCTTCCCTAGCCACCTGTTACCTGTGTGTTTCCTGGGTCACTGAAATATTTTTAAAAACAAAGGAAAACCCTAACTGAGACACAATTTCCTTCACGCTCCCTAACACAGAAGCACAGGACATGTACTCCACTGCACCTCGCGGTGCCAGGGATGCCCCAAGAGCAGGAACAGGGCGCTGCTTCATGATCCTTACCCAGGCCGGCCTGGTGCAGCAGGGCAGAGATGCTGAATATGATGTTCCGGCACACATCCGTCATCGGCGTCTTCACCACGCTTCTGCTGTTCTCCAGGCACCGGTACCGCTGGAAGGTTTCCCAGGCACTGTTGGTGACCACCCCGTCTCCTGAGCCGCCCACGGTGAAGATGTCCAGGGACTTACAGTACGGCATGAGCACGAGCTGTGGAGAACAGCAAGGCCCCTGGCGTCGGTCAAGGGAACCCCACGCTGCTTTGCTTCTTGGAGACAGAAAGGCAGGCTCGCTAAAGTGAAGCCCTGTCCATCCTTCAGTATTTTCCCCCAGAAAAAGCTTAGATTTACGTAGCTGGATGGTTCTGCAAGATGCTGGTGTGTAAGGCGTATTCCTGTTCTTGGAGGGAAGCAGTCTGAGTAAGTCCTTTCCAGAGGGTGCAATGTCATAGGCAGAGTAACATTGGGGGCAGAATGACTGGGCTTCTGCTGCGGGTGTGCAGTGGCCGGCACTCACCGAGTCGATGAGCGTGTACGGGCTCTCCACATCAGTGTCAAAGGAGGTGTACTGGGGCAGCTCCAGCCGCACCGTGTAGTTCAGACCCTTCTCAAAGCACACAGGACGGGGAAGGACAACGTATCTGCCGCCAAACAGGAGAACAAAAACACTGACAAAAACCCTCTTGACATCCAAGAAATGAACACTGAAAACTACAGCACCAGTTTCAGAGGAAGAACAGCAACAGCTGGGGTCTGGCTCTGAAACAGCAACTCAACAACCTTCATGACACCAGACTAGAAAGCCTGCGTGTGCGTGTTAATTCTGGTAAGGGGCAGACCCCGCCGCACTGACCTGGAGCCTGGCGATAAAGACACCACCTGGTTGTCATCATCGGGAACAGTGTTGCCACACCGGCTGCTGGCTGGAATCTTCCCAGGCCGCTGCACCGTGATGACAGCTTTTTCCCAGCGGTCAGGCAGCTAGAGCAAGAAATGAGCAATGAAAGGACTGTGGCCTGAGCCCACTGCCTGCCCGTCTTTACACACCCTTCCAGGCCAAGCCCTGGCCGGGGCTCACTGGAGAACATGGTTGCTCCTTTCCCTTCCCTCTGCCTCAGCCCTGGCTCTGGCCTTATTCCCTTCTCCAAATCAAAGCACTGCCCCAAAGTGCTGCCTGCCACCGCCCATCGTCCCTTTCTGTCCACTCTCCAGAAGCTCAGAGGACAAAATCTTCTGCTCAGAATCCTCCCAGAGCTTCCTACCACGAGAGTCCAAATCCCCTGACCGACTCTGGCTTTTCCCAAACACCATGCTCTTCATCTAGTTCTATGGATCCTCAAATGAAAACCTCTCCTCTCTGATCTCACTGTTCCTGTCCCTCTTTTGTGTCCGTTTATCAAAAGTTCCCACAGGCATCACGGCCTAGTTCTGGTTCATTATGAAACACTTTGGCAGTCTCTGCCTGCTATGACTCCCTCCATCTCCTGGCAAGATTTTCCTCTGTGCAGGGAGCTGGTGAAGTAGGATGACGCAAAGCAGTAACTCATTACCACCTCTACTCAGCCCAGTTAAACAGCCAACGAGAGGCCACTACATGGGAAACACACATGATTTAACTTCCCTGAGGAGGTCAGCAAGTCAGGGGCTGATCTGCTCCAAAGTAACCCCCAAATTTCACAGTATATTAGTACCCACAGGAGGTGCTGTTTTTCTACCAGCAACACCATGCTGATGCCCCTCACCAACAGCACCTTCATAGCCCACTTTTTTTACCTGTGGCTCATAGCGAATTAAGATTTCATACTCCATGGAATAGGGGATGTTGTCAATGAAAAACTCCAAGTAAGCTCCCTCAGGCACTCGGACGAAGCCAGCTCCAGTCCAGGAGGGAATGCGGTCCTGGATGTACTGTCGCTCCACCACAGTGACGCCCTGAGGGGGTGGGAGTGGGGCTCCATGGGGAATGGAGTTTGATTGCATTGCACCCCAATCCAAAACCACCCAGAGATTCAAAATTGTGGCTGCCTTACTGCTTTCTTATAGTCACAGACCTCCTAGATTAGAAGGCACATGATATATAAACAAGGTAACTGGTTTCTTGTTATTTGAGCTTGGACTGGTCTTGGGACCCTGGAGATGGGGACTTACAGGCTGAGGATGTATCTATATGACACAGCCAGGAGATCATCATAGAGGAAGAATGGCCCTGCTTCATGAATATCCCACACTGTTAGAAGAAAGCCTAGAATCGAAGTGCTTCTGATGTTCTCTTCAAGGCTAGTACAGTTATTTCTTCTCTAATTGGCATTAGTTTTGGTTCCAACGTAAGTGAAGAAACTTAATATGCCAATAAGCACTTGTTCACAGGACCACCATCGAATGCCATGGTTGGTCATCTCCAACGACGGCCACCACTCAGTCTTTCATTCCCTGTATCTGAAGAGGTGAAACTTTGTCGTCTTCCCCATGACCTGGACTGGTTTTGTGACTTATTTCCAAGAAATTCTGAGGAGACGATGTGCTGGGACTTAGGAGGCCAGGCTTACGAGACATCTGGCAGCTTCTGTTTCCTGCTTGGAAGCCAGAACTCAGATGTCTTACTACCCTGCCTCCACCAGCTAGGGGACATTCATGAGGGATGCAGGGAGAGGTCACATGAGGACAAACGCCCAGCCAGCCTCCTTCCGTCTCAGCCACATGTACCATTTTAAGACAGTAAGTGAAATGAGTCTGAGCATAGGTGATGTCAGATGACCGTAACCTTGCAGCACAAGGGAGTCTACACCAGTTACCGATGGACATAAGTTGAAACAGGACTGTGTTCAAGGCGACAGGTCTGCGCCTGTATTTTGTGCTCCCTGACCAGAGTCACAGAAGTGCTTCTTCTGCAGCATCTTGGCCCACAGCTATGGGGGCCATTACTCCCACACACACAAAATGCCCCTTACCCACCTGCCTTGCTCCCCTACTTACGGGCCCCAGGCTGGCTCCCTCCGCTTCATAGATGTAGTGGTCCAGGGTGGTGAAGTAATACCCCGATTCCACCTCGCTGCACTGCCGTCCAATCAAGTGAGGCCGACAGGAACACTGGCCAGACACTGGGGAGCAGCTGCAGGAAGAGGAGGAGCTGCCATCAGTGCGGGCGCCAGACACAAATGCAAGCCTGCACTGCATGAGGAAAATGTGTGTGCAATTTTTTTACTTCCTTCAGGAAATAAATACATGGGGAAATAATAGTCATGAATGAATCCTGAACTCGCTGGCCCGAGGATCTTCATTGTCTCCCTTGCCATCTCTTCACTTTTGCGCCTCCATGCCACCTGGCGATATCCTACGGGCATCATGACCTCCCTTGCCTTGCTAGCTTATAGCTTTTGTTCATTTCCAACTATAACTCCTTTTGTGGGACTCAGACTCAAATCTCCAACTCCCCAAAGAACACCTCCATCTTAAGCTGTCCAAGAGATGCCCCTACCCAATGGATCCAAAATGGCACTGATTGGGGCCGGGGAGATGGCTCAGTGGAATAAGCACTTCCCTGGCAAGCGCAAGGGCCTGGGTTCAATCCCCGGTTCAGCAAAAAAACCCAAAGACACCAAAATGGCACTGACTGATCATTTGTGTTTTTTACTGCAGTGAAAGTGCTTCCACCCATGAAGCGAGAAGGGATTCTTTAGGTTCCTTCTTCATATTCAACAAGAATCAAATTCTGCATCTTAAGATGCATGAGCCATGTTGCTTCCTGGCACAGCAGTCTTGGGAAGGTACCCCATGCCCTCCCAAATCTTCCCCTCTCTACTTTCCCAAGCCTCCACCTCTCCCTAAGCCTCTTCAGCCATCTTGAACAACTCTAATTTTCTCTAATGCTCTACGTGACCCCTTCCCTTTACTTTGGTGGTTCCTCCAGCCCTCTCCCCTCACAAAGATCCACCGATTTCTTTTAAGACAAGACTTATTAAGAACCCTGCTGTGGCATTTCCTGATCACCAGCCCCTTCTCCTCCATGCCACCCCTCACTGAGGAAAAGAGGTAGGCACAAAGCTTGTCCCGCAGTATTCACTCAAGCTGAGGCACTGGGTCTTCAAATCCTGCTTAGCCTCGCTCAACCTCTACCCAGTTTGTCAAGGTTTGTTAGGTTCCCTCCTCTGCCACCATCAAGAGGAGCTTTCTGAGGCCTCAGTGGTTCCTAGATATACCTCCGTTGTCCTCAAGACAAGAGTGCTTTCTCCCTACTGGCGTAATAATCAACAGACCTCTCTGTCCTCCTAGGAGACCACCAGTGCTCTGAGGGCCTGGGCGGCGCCTTCTCCACTTCAGCTGCCCTCTCCCACCTGAGCCTAGAGCTCTGGGCAAGTAAACACTGCTGAACAGCCACTCAAAGGCAAGCACGCTTTTAAAAATAAAAGTGAAAAAAAAAAAAAAATCTGGGCCGGCCAAATAGCTCAGCGCATTAGAGCGCCTGCAAGCCGGTGCACTGAGACAGCAACTAAAACTGGGCGTGGTGGCAAGTGCCTATAATCCCAGCTCTTGCGAGGCTGTAAACAGGAAGATCACTATGAGTTTGATCTAGTAGTGAGACCCTGAACACCCTGTGGACCCTTCCCTAAAATTAAAAAAAAAAAAAAAAAACACATTTAATGTACATAATAAACCCTTATGCTTCGGTATTATTTTAGGTATTGAGGGCCTTTGGATAAACCACAGTATATAACACAGTCCTTTGTTTCTCAGCCTGTATCTGTTTTTTCCTATGGTAGTACTGTTTTATATATGAAGTAAAACCCAAGTTACATGCATCTATTTTTATCCCCGTAAAAATCAAGGGGTTGGGATGTAGCTCTGTGGGACAGCACTTATGAGACCCCTAGATTCCAGCCCCAGCACCCCACCACCACACACACACATACGAAAGAAAAAAAAAAAAATCCAGAAAGACAAAGTCCAGCTGTGATCTGGAGTTGTTAGTAAGCCCATTCCAGAGGCTCCTTTTTTATTTTTCCTGCCCAAAATTGATCTGAAGTCAGGTACCACACAGCAAGCTACAACCCACAGGAAGAAGACAACATCCGGAGGGGTGTTCGGAAGCACCCCAAATGGCTGTCACAGTCCAGCGGAAATCCTCTCCCTGTTTGTTATATTATTATCCCAAAGGAATGGGAATTCCCAGGCATGGAAAGCCTATTCAGACGATGATCCAGCCCTCTTTTGGCATGAGCCACCCATGACAACCATTTTTGGAAGCTCAGCCATCAGCCGTCATATCACACGGGGCAAGGAGAAGCCTCCTTCTTCCCTAGCAGATGTTTGCCGAGGGAACCAACATGCAGAACAAAAACCATGAAGACAATAACCAGATCCATAGGGGCTGGCGGCCAAGACCGACACAGGCGACATGATGGCACCCTGCACACTCCAGGGCTGCCTTCTCCTCCGAGAGAGAGTCCACACCAAGCCAAGGAGGGAGGAGCAGGTCGCTGAGCACTCGGCAGCCAGGGCCCTGTGCTCTGAGACAGAACTGAAGGGGCGCCACCGACAGGCAGGGCTCCCCTCCCACAGGGCGAACTCCCTCTGGGCTCTGCCCCTCCAGCCAGGTTTTTTTGCATTTCCTCCAATGGACAGGCGGGGTCCTGCCCTCCCTGCTCATCCCCTCACACAGGGTCTCCTCGCCCTCAGAACTCGGCTATTTCTGTCAAGGATCTTATACTCTTCCCACGGTATAACTGAGACAGAACTTCCTTCTTCCTTTATCCAAATCCTCAGGCCTTATTTCGAAACATTTCTCAACTCAGCAGCCTCCTCCCGCTGTCAGGACCACCATCCTAGTCCAGGATGTCACCAGCCCTCGCTGTTGCCACAGCAGTCCCTCAGCCAGCTCCTGCAGCTCTTCTCTGTCCCCTGCTCGGGCATTACAGGGCTGTCCCTCCAGCTCACTGCATCCAGTATGGGGGCTCTGCCTGCCTCTGTGGCCTCTACGGCCCATCCAGGAAGGCAAATTTGAGCCCAGAAGCTCAAGGCACTGGTAACTTCCCATTTGGTCTACTGTCAAGTTTTTTCTAAATCAACCCTTCCACTTCCTGGGAGAGGCCTCTGACGACAGTCACCAAGAAAACGGGAGCTGCAGCCTATAGCCTCAAGGAGCTGGATTCTGCCAGCAACCTAAAGAAGCCGGAAATGGATTCTCCCCCGCAGGCTTTCCAAAGCAGTGCAGTCCCAAACGCCCTGATTTTAGTCCACTGCAACTGTCTAACCTGGCGGACTGTAGGATAACAAACATATCTATGTTCTTTCAAGCCACTGAAGTCTGGTAACTTGTGGCTACAACAGAAAACTAGTATAGGTCTCCCCAGGAGGTAAAGGCCAAGATTTCTTGAAAACACAGATTTCTCATAAAGAAATCTGCAACATCTAAAAATGCCATTGGAAGAATAATCCTGTGTATTTAAATAGTGATGAGTATGGAAAACATGATTTCAACTTTTCTCTAAGATGTTAGGCAGAAAACAATGTTAACATAAAAGCATCACTCACAGTAGCCAACCACTCTGTTCAGCAGTCATCTCCACGATTCGGATTCCAGGAGAGCTGGCTGCACTATGATTGATTTGTTCCCAGCAATCAGCATCACACTTTCCTGCTCGGGTAGCAACCCCCCACCCTGGCAATACTTTCTAGTGGGCGGAAGCACATTCTTTATGTCCCGCTCTCCTTACGGTTAGCAAAGAATTACTTAAACCACAGTCATTCAACATAGCGGTGGCAGTTTCTATGAAGCGCTCTGTTGTCAAAGTCAGTACGTCCCTGCCCTTGGTCTACTGAGCACCCACATGTTTCTCTGTGCTGGGTGCCAAAGATACAAAAACAAGAAGGACACAGTCATTGTCTGGAGAGGTCTGCTGGGCATGGAAGGCAGGGCCTTGCACAGACTAGGTAAGCACTCTGCCACTGCGCTGCATTTCAGTCCTGAGAAATCTTTTTAGTGCTAACTACTGTAATATAAAGCAGAATAAAGTATTAAAAGATGCAGAAATGATATGTGCTGAGTATTAGGAAAAAGCTGGGACTTCCATGGAGAAAGCAGAAGTCTTCCAAAAAATAACTGCTACAAGCCAGGCATAAGGCTTCTAAATTTAACTGATACAATAAACTCGAAGGATACTGCAAAAATGTTTACATTTTTAAGTATTTCCAAACATTTATAAGTACCGTTTACCTAGCAACTACGCCACTAATTCTTATTTATTCATTAAAGCATGCAATCCACTAGGCAAAACTTCCTTAACCTAGCTTGAGTTACATTATTAGATCTCACGTCTTTAAATATTAAGTTTCAGATTAGCTGTCCACATAGTAGACATGGATTGCTAAGTTTTTATTGTACAACTAAAAACCCATCTGGCTCACTGTATAAAAACATTTAAAAATGTTTTCCACTTTGAATAAATTTTACACTTAATTTGGTGCCTGGCTGAAGTAACTAAAGCTGAGTTTGGGATCACATTTAGAGGCTGCCTCACTTGAAGAGTGTGTATTTGGTATTACATCTTAAAAATCTTTGCTTCTCAAACTCTTTTACCTAATCCACATTTATTTAATACCTACTATGTATCAGAGGCAGAGCTAAGCAATGCTGGTAGGTGAGAGACGGAAGCACTATTTTGCATAGTATTTGTTTTCCATGCATTAGGACTAGCACAAATCACGTTTGATGGTGCCCGCCGCCACCAAGGATGGGGGAAAGGCCTGTTGAAACCCTTTGTTAGGAAAATGAACTGCTTGCAATATGTCAACAGTAGAGCAAGTTATCTCCTGAGTGACAGTCACGTCCCATCTCATGTGGGGGATCAGGCCAAAGGGAGTCCTAGGAAAACTCCCTTTGGGATAATAAGACCACCCACCATTGGATAGCACAAGGTCACAGGACCAGCGCCTCATTTTAAAGGCTCTTTCTTCCTCACCAAAGATAAAGTGTCTCACAATCATAAAACCTGTACTAAAAATTTGCTTCACAAACTCTCAAGGAACCCTTTCTGGTTTCTCTAAGTTTTCAAAGAAGACTAGAGGGCAGGGCAGAGGCTGTGCAAGGGTGGGCAGAGGTAGGAAATCTGAGGG